CATCCAGCAGCTAAAAAGACAAATATTAAGGATAAAATGAAAATTACAATGAAAAGCTCAGATTTATGGATGACCTATATTCCTAGTAGTAACTGTATTCTGCATTATTCTGTATTACTATGTATGAATGTAAAGTTTTCTTTGTGTTAACAGGACCAGGCTATCTCCGTCAGAGAGCTCCAGCAGATGCTGAACGGCGTTCTCAGCAGACGTAAGTGAAAGACGAGATTACGGTATTTTGAAGAGACCAAAAGGCTGTAAACATATTTATTTCTGCTGTAAAGTTGTGCATTTTAATATGGGGCCTTATGGAGACTCACTCACTGCTGGAGCCCGCCTCTAGTGGACGTTAGAGGAACTGCAAGTCTTGATACTTGGTCATATGCAGCCAGGTTTCCAGTCTTTATTCTATACTGTATATTAAGCTTTATATGTATATATATATATAAAAAACTAAGGTTGTAGAATAAAATTTATATATAGTTCCCTTTATGACAGTGGTTCATAGAGGGTCGTGAAGCCTTAAAGAAAACGTTAAAAATATACACATTAGACCTATATCTCAGCATTTAGCTCACTTCTGTGAAGAAAAGAAAAGTACATTTTTAATTAAATTGTCTAATCGAACAATAACCAAACGTCAGGGAGAAGAAAACACAAAAAAGAAGCCTATTAATTCTGTATAATTGTTACAAATTATTTTAAAAATACATAATACAGACAGAGAATTGTATAAAAAGTTCCCTAAACAGGAAATAATCTGCTCAAAATTCATTCAAATCTCTGGTTTTACACAAACTTCCTGCAGTTCTAGATTTCACTGTTTGGGTTCATTGTACAGTTTTTAATATAATATGAAATATCCATAAAATATATTTCACTTAATCAGTTTATTTAATGATAGAAAAGGTCCCTTAAGGAAAAAGATTGGGAACTATTGATTTATTGATTGATTGAGTCATAAGACATGTAAAAGACACAGAAGTAGCTTGTAGGTCTGTAATTTCTGTCAGTGTTTTATTGTTCTAGTGACGCACATAAACATACAAAAAGCAACTGTACTAACCAAATATACTGAAGTTGTCAATATTATTGTATTTTTTTCTTTAACGATTCACTGTTTTCTTTATTTTATCTTCAGGAAAAGAAATCAAATTTGATGGCCTGACTCTCAGCACCTGCCACAGCATTATCAACCTGATGGATGTATCCTTCCACACGACTGACTGATATTTACTTTATTGATAACACACAGACAGACGGTGTGATGGTGTCTGTTCTTCCCGTAAAATAAGATAAATTATTACCACAATGCAAAGTTTTGTCCTTGACAGTGAACCAGGTGGACAACACCGGGAAGCTGGAGTTCCAAGAGTTTAAGGTCTTCTGGGAGAAGATGAAGAAGTGGATTGTAAGTGGATTAAAAACTGTAAATCTGATATTTTACTTAAATTAAAGTAATAATACGACAGCGCAGAAATACTTTATTATAAGGTGGATTGGTGGTTGGTGCATTAATGTGTTTGTCACTGTGATATTAAAACTGGTGAATGTGGATGATTTTAATTCATATACTGGTTATATATATATATATATTATCCTGTTCAGTAGTTATATAATAATTTATTTGTTTTCCCGTCGTTGCAGATGCTCTTCTTGTCCTTTGACACCGATCGTTCGGGGAAGATGTCGTCCTACGAGCTTCGTACCGCTCTCAAAGCTGCAGGTGAGAGTCGAGAAACTGTTGACACATAATTTATTTAATTTACTCCCAATATCGTCATTTAATTTGAATTTTAATGTTTTAATGGCAAACACACAAAGGACGTGACTTCTCTATGTACGGAGATGTGACATATTGACTGACGTCGAGCCAGAAAAAAAAAAAAAAAAAATATTTTTCTACCCCCCACATTTTTTTGTGGACATGAGTTTGACCATGAGATACAGTCAGAGAGCGCCAGTAGGTGGACCACTGAGTTATTTTTGTTTGTTCGTCAAAACCAAACTTAATAAAATCAATATTTCATATTAAGAAATACTGTTTTTGTGATGTTTCTATTACGAATACACCAGTTATTGCCATGTTAAGCCCTATTTTGCATACATTTAACATATGTTTAACAATAAATACAATGCAAGAAGTGTTTTTAAGTATGTTATTATATTATTTATATATTTTAAGTGTTTGTTTCACTGGATTTATTGTGACTGGTATTCTTTATCTTTATTTGTATTAATATGGTAAAGTGTTGTTCTTGTATTAATAGGGCCGTTTGTGCTAATGGTGGTTTGGGCAATGCTGCTCTGTTCCCATGAAGGTATGCAGCTGAACAACCAGCTCCTGCAGCTCATCGGCTTGAGGTTCGCTGATGACAACTACGACATCGACTTCGACGACTACCTCACCTGCATCGTCCGCCTGGAGAACATGTTCAGTGAGTAAAAGAAACCTCTGCTAGCTTTACATTAACTGCATTAAAAAAAAATCAACTTTAAAGGTTCTGTATGTAACTTTCAGACTGTTAATAGTGACACCGGTGGCCGTTAAGTGAACTGCAGTCAACTGTGAGGATAATTATTTAATGGTGAAGTAATTTTGCAAGCTAATGTTAGGCAAACAAGAAAGTTGGGGACAGTTGAATTTTTTTTATATTACGTTCCAACCAGTTTCACAAATTGGCAATACAAAGTGATTAATATATTAAAAAATAATAAAATGCTTCCTACATACGGCGCCTTTAAGAAAGTAATTTTCCACTTTGTGTTGACTGAAACTTTTTCTCTGAACCAGGAGTTTTCCAGGCTATGGATGAATTCAAGAGAGGACGTGTGAACATGAACATGATGCAGGTAAAACCCAAAATATTGATAATAACCTTAATACCAAATTTAGCTTTTAATGTTTTTGGGGACTTTATTTGATTTATTTTGATGTAACTTTATTTTGTCTTTGCCTCTCAGTTCCTGATGATGTCGATGAACGTCTGAGGAGACGCTGAAAGCAAACAGAAGCCGCCAGAAGAACAAAACGAGCTGAATATTCAGGCTGAAAACGCTGAATTCTTTCTTTCTTTTTCACGTTTCAGATTCTCAACATCTCATCTGTTTTTTTAAATAATAATGTGAGATACTGTCTGCGCTAAAGTATTGAAACTGGGGGGGGGGATCGGAGGATGTTAAAATTTGCTGACTTATGCTTTTGGATAAAAGCGTTATTTTCTTTGCTTTCTGCATGAATGGAAATAAAGTTTGAATAAAAACTTCTGGCTTTGATGTGGGAAAATGAGTTGGACCTTGAGATTAATCAAGATTTATATTCATAGAAACATTTAGACTGAATAAAGAGTTTTTCTTAATAACAATAGTTAAATTAGAGTCAATCAGTTCCACAGTGAAAACACATTAAATCCTGTAAGATGTGTCGTTAAAGTTTATTTATGATCTTCCAAATGATGACAACAAGAGATTTCTGAGCCACTGAAACATTATTAATTAATGAATTAATTCATTTTTTCGTCAAAAAAACAAACATTTTCCTGCTTTGCGCTGGTATATATATATATATATATATATACACACACTGTAAAAAATCTCTGCTTGAGTAAAAGTAGCAGCAAAAAACATAATAGAATATTATATTCTATTATTAGATCATAATTATTGGTGCTTTAATGTTACAGCTGGTAAAGGTGGAGCTATTTTTAATTATTTTATATTCTGCTCTGCAGCTGAATCTATAACAACACATCAGAATTTATTTATTTATGTTTAATGTATTGGTTTAGCTGACATTATCGGATGATATCTAGATCATATCTGTATTTAGAACTGGTTGATGTTATTTAACAAGTTAAAGAATATTGAACTTTGATCAAGTTTAAGAAAGCCGCCTTCTGATAAATGCAATAAAAGTACAATATTTCAGTATAATGTAGTGTGGTAGAAGAATAAAGTGCCATAAAAATATAAATACTTAAGTACATGTACCTCAAAATTGTACTTATGTACAGTACTTGAGTAGATGTACTCAGTTACATCCCACCAGCATTGCATGCTGTGACATTTGTTGGCTGTGTTTTGTTAAGCTGCAGCTGAGCAACGGCCACCATAGGGGTTGTTTTAATAAAGCAAACAATAGAGTAACAGGAGGTTATACATCAGGTGCAGGTGGTGTTGATTGAACTGGGAAAACACCAGTGAACTTATTGTTGTTGGGTGGAAAATGCTTTTCTCAGTAGACAACCACTGTTCTGAGAACATTAACACCAGGAGGCTCCGAGGAGACTTTTCTTACTGTGACGTGTCAAAATATTTGGTTATTTATATAACACATCACCTCCAGGTACCTACCAATTACAGAGCACACAGTGGACAACACCTTACTCCAGATTGGCTGGGTGCCAGTTACTTTTGCATTAAACCAGTTGACACACAAGTGAAACCGGGGTTTTGGGGGGCTGTTAGGATGAGACTCTTGGAGGACTTTTGGCTTCTTCATTGCCATTGTAATTGATTTATACTGTCAAGTGTCTAGGAAATTAAATGCAAGTTATTCTGTCTTACATATATGTCACAGATAATATGGGTTTGAATGCTTGCTTTGTAGCTCATAAAATAAATGTATATTAAAATGGGGGCAGGCAAGATTCTTAGTGACCATCCTAAATATATATATAACATAATTAAAGTATGTTAGCAGAGGGAAATGGCTGTATTATCTATATTTCCTCTGTCAACCCTGTGGACAGTGTCCAGTCCAGCAGGTGGCAGTAATGCTCCTATAAACTACAGTTAATGTCAGGACTGTACCAACAATGCCTAATGTGGAGGGAACACAACCACAGTCTAACCGTAATTACATTATTAATACAAACACATGTATCTCTGTTTTAAGATAATTCATGACATATAAAATGAGTCACAATAATTAAAATAAGCTCATATTAAACATATTCATACATATTAAAAACAAACACCCCCCCTCCTTCCCTCTGAGATGGTTCCTTCCAGCAATGGTAGCCGCAGCGTGGTGGAGGAGAATCCAACGTGGATAAACAAACAACAACAACCACACTTTCTGGGTTTAAACGGCTCTTTACAACAACAACTTCTTGCAGTTTCACATTTGAGGATCTTTTAAAGTCCGACCAGTCAAATAAACCCGTCAGAGATTCCGTCTCGTAATGGTAAGCTGACATTTACAACGTATGCTAAGCTCGTTAGCTCACAGCGGCTAACGTCCCTGCTGTGTGTGTGTTCATCATAAAACACCGTAGTGGTGGAAAATAACTACATTTACGGTTGTTATTAAGGTTAATGAGGATACTTAATGAAAGTTTAGTTTCTCCCCTTTTTGCTAGAAGTGTTTTAAAGCTGGTTGTTTGGTAGAAAGTTGTTGGACTTTGAGTTTGTTTGCTGATATTTGGAGACAGAAGTTTATACAGACAAATCCTAATAACACAATCAGTGGTTTAACTTCACTTTAAAGGCTGATTGTAATGTGGTTTAAGTAGGTTTAATGTAGGTCATTTAAAATGATAGAAATCAGCGAAAGGAAGCTGGAACCAGTTTGTTTGATTAATGAGCTGATCGATTAATTGATTGTCAACAGTTTGACGAGCTAGAAACTTTGGAGGAAGTTGGTCTGAAGATGCTCTACAGCTTCACGTTGAGGTTCACTCTATACGGATCTTCTCTTGTTGATTTAGTCATTATTAAACAGCAAAAACTGACAAATTGTGTGTTTTGTTTACAGTATTTGTTTAAAAAGGGACTTTGCTGAGACTCTGTCCTTATCTCCTCTCTCTCTCTCTCTCTCTCTCTCTCTCTCTCTCCTCCAGCCTCATCGAAAGAAGAAATCGTTCATTGAGAAGAAGAAGGCCGTGACCTTTCACCTCGTCCACAGAAGTCAGAGGGACCCGCTGGCTGCAGATGAGAAAGCGCCGCAGCACGTCCTCCTGCCCGCCACCAAGGTAACCTCGGTGCCACCGAACGGGTGGCGAAGCTTCAAGAGGTAAATGAGCAGAAACATAAACCTGCTGCTTGTTGTTGTGTCCTTCAGGGGGAAGTGGAGAAGAGGCGCGAGGAGCAGAGGGAGTTCGGCGTCTTCTTCGACGACGACTACAACTACCTGCAGCACCTGAAGGAGGCGTCGGCCACGACTGAGCTGGTGGCCGCCGGGCCCTCGCACCATCTCCGGGACGAGGATGAGGACGAGGAGAACGAAGAGGAAGGAGACGCCGACAAGGTCGTTCCTGTAAGTTGACTCAGAGTTTATCTTCAGTCGTTAAAATCCTGCAAAAGGTTGGAATAGAAATTGTCTTCTCGTTGTTGTCTGGTTTAGATGTCGGCCTTATTATTAGTGTTTCTATTATTAAGGTTGCCGTTCCTCTGAAGTTGTGCGCCTTGTGTGGAAGCTCTGAAATGATTGTTGTTGTTTTTGTTTGATGAACAGGCAGCTTCCATCAACCTGCCGTCTTCAGTGTTCGCCTCGGAGTTCGAGGAGGAGGTGGGACTTCTGAACAAAGCCGCTCCTATCTCAGGTACGCGGCTCATCATTCGGGTCATATTGTGTTGAATTGTCTGCTGTTGAAACATTTTAATCAAAAACTCCAGTTGAAACTGAAAACAGTGAAACTGTGTGATGTGATTTTATAAGTTAAGAATATATCAGATACTTCCAGGGTTAATTGTAACGACAAAAGCAGCTTTATAATTTCTCTAGAATAGTTTTGGGTTTCCTTTTCTGCCTCAACTTCATGTTAAAACTGAATATATCCAGTTTCATGGCTGTTTTACTTTCACCTCTCGCCGTTGTTCCCGTCATGTGAAGCAGCTTTAAAGTTGCCCTCGGGTTCAGACGTCAGCATCATCATCCCTTCGTGTGTTTTCTCCCTTCAGGACCGCGGCTCGACATGGACCCCGACATCGTGGCTGCTCTCGACGAAGACTTCGACTACGACGACCCCGACAACCTCCTGGACGACGACTTCATCGTCAAAGCAAACAGCGGCGCAGTGGACATGCGGTAAGACACTAAAAATAGAACTTATTTCTGTGGTGATTCAAGTTATTTGAGGTCTTTTCTCACCTTTTTAAAGGCTTCTTCGTTTGAGGGATTCTGAAATATTTTTTAAGCCTTTTTTGTTTGCTTGTTTGTTTGATGTCTCAAAATAACAATCACTTTCTTGAGATACTACATTGACACTTATATATGATATGAAACAATGAACATCATCTTCTGTTGATCCACATGTTAACAGATTTAATTGAAATGCCTTTTATATCTAAACAATTGGAGAAAATGTTACAGTAAGATGTAGTTCCACATTAAACAGTGATTTTAACCCGTGGCAGAGGTGATGACGACGATGATGATGATGAGTGGGAGGACACAGACGAGGAAGGCGACTTCGACTCCGAGGGCGGGCTTTCGGGCGACGAGGACGCGGAGGGGGGCGGTCGCGGCCGAGAATTTCTCTTCATGGACGAGGAGACGAAGAGTCGATTCACGGAGTACTCGATGACGTCGTCTGTGATGAGGAGGAACGAGCAGCTCACGCTGCTGGACGACCGCTTCGAAAAGGTGTGTGTGTGTGTGTGTGTGTGTGTGTGTGTGTGTGTGTGTGTGTGTGTTCCAGTTAATTGTTGGACGTCACGTCTCCACTTCCAGCCACAATATCCCGGATATGAGTGCTGCCGTCTCTGCAGCACTGATCCAGTTTCCCTCTAACAGTAACATTTAATTTGAGACCAACACAGGCTAAAGTACAACTAATTTTAATTAAAAATAACTTTCCCGGACAACAAAGATTACTTCCATGACTGGAAAACTAATCTCTGAAAGTTTTTCCAGGTTTTCCAGGACACGTGGGACTCTAAATAACAAATTAAACCCAAACTTATAAGAAAAATTAACACTTAAACTTAAAACAAATGCCAGAAACCATCTTTGGGAATAATTTATTCGACGCGAGTTAGTAATTTTCTCTTTCTAGCATCATTCAAACAAGAATAATAATAAAAAAACAACAACTAACAGATCAATAATTCTGTGTAGAAAACCCAGCTTATAACTTTATTTATATTTATATAGCACCTTTCTTAACAGCGTTACACAGATCTTCACAGTACAGAGATACTGGTGATAATAATCATAATAATTATACTTCTGCTTTTATTTAATGGAAAACAAATAAAAAAGAAAACATGTCAAGAATACACAAAGACAGAAAGTAGGGAGAGAGAGAGGGAGAGAGAGAGAGAGAGAGAGAGAGAGAGAGAGGTATATGAGCAGTTTAATGAATCAGTTTTATCTCGTGGATCAGATTGGTCAAAAGAAAACGGCAACAATGAACGATGATTGAATGATGTGTAAAATGCAGACGCTGTATATGACTGCACAAAGAAGTTGCCGTGGTTACTCCTCCCCTGGGTGAATATAAACTTGCAACAGACCGTGTCGGCCATCTGGGACTCGAGCGGATGAAAACATTAAAACCATAACGGTGACACAGAGCGGTTGTTTAAGCACAAACGGATTCACAGTGAGTTCAGGATACAAAACAAAAGTTGTGACATTTAAAAAATTAACCTTTTTAAAAAGTCTACAGTTAAACATTCAGCTCAATGTGTCACAGTGAAAACACATGAAATATTACATTTAATTGATTTTGTATTGGCATACAAACGCAGATTAAAGTGCTTTACATGATATTAAAGCATTGATAAAAAGCAGCAGCAGTTGTAGTCCTAGTAGCTATAGTTGTAGTCCTAGTAGTTACAGTTGTAGTTCTAGTAGCTATAGCAGTTGTAGTCCTAGTAGCTATAACAGTTGTAGTCCTAGTAGCTACAGTAGTTGTAGTCCTAGTAGCTACGTTGTAGTCCTAGTAGTTATAGTTGTAGTCCTAGTAGCTATAGCAGTTGTAGTTCTAGTAGCTATAGCAGTTGTAGTCCTAGTAGCTATAACAGTTGTAGTCCTAGTAGTTACAGCAGTTGTAGTCCTAGTAGTTACAGTTGTAGTCCTAGTAGCTATAACAGTTGTAGTCCTAGTAGCAACAGTTGTAGTCCTAGTAGTTACAGTTGTAGTCCTAGTAGTTACAGTTGTAGTCCTAGTAGCTATAGCAGTTGTAGTCCTAGTAGCTATAGCAGTTGTAGTCCTAGTAGCAACAGTTGTAGTTCATTGTTTTTCCAGTCAAGTCAGTGAGTGTGTGCGAGTCTTTAGATGTGAGCTGCAAACTTGCTAAAAAACTGCGTCCGTGTTGTTTCAGTTTTACGAACAGTTTGATGATGATGAGATCGGCGCTCTGGACAACACAGAGCTAGAGGGCTACATCGAACCCGACAGCGCTCGCCTGGAAGAAATTATCAAAGACTACTTCATACAGAAAGAGAAGGAGTGAGTGAAGTTCATTTTTTCTGCCCTCTTGAACTTGATTCAGTCGTGTTGTTGTTGTTGTTGTTGTTTTTTTGACGAGAAGTCTTATCAAAATAATCTGTTTGTGGTCCAGATACCTGAGGCCTGATGACTTGGGTCCCAAAGAACTTCCTGTTGTGAAGGAGGAGGAGGAAGACGAGGAGGAAGAAGAGATGGAAACTGTTGTCGTGGGGCCTCCAGAAGAGAAGTGGGACTGTGAAACCATCATCAGTGAGTTGTGTGTCTATTAACTGTAACTGCTACAGGAGGCTGTCTGTGTTTCTTTTCAAACTTTCGCTCTTAAATCTACAATTTCTTCATCAACGGTAGAAAAATGCTGCAAAAAAATCTTCTTTTTATTAACATTTCTTGTCTTATGACAGTATTCAGGAGCCTAAACAAACCGTACAAACACATTAAAGTTTCCCGGAGTCATTTACACACACTGTGTAAAGAAAAAGACAGATTTGTAGTTGATGTAACTAGATCTACTTTTTCCCTCTCTGCTTTCAGCCACAGTAAGCGAGCACTGGCCTCACAAGGATCAGTGTCATTTTAAAACAGTAGATGGCGTATTGAGCTGTTTCCAAGCCACGATATGCTGATTTATTTTCATACATTTTGTATAAATGTCGATATTAATAGCGGCATTGATGCGTTTCATCACAGGACAGTCGTATAATTCAGTTTACACAGCTTTTAATAGACGTTTATGTGCAGTTCTCAGAGATAATAGTGGAAGTTAGACACACTTGATGAACTGTAACGAGGATTGTTTGGTTTATTTATGTTTATTGAACTGTGCGACTCTCTTCTCTTCTTCCACTAAACAACAGGATCCAGACTTTTGTATTTTAACTGTTAGCAGTTGGTCTTGATGTTTCATTGGAAGCCAAAAAGGTTGAAATCATATCTGTTCCATATCATTGCACTAAAAGTTCATTGGGTTAATGGTTGACTCCTCCTGCGGTAATAAATGGTAAACCACTCAAAGCGCTCAACCGCCCAATAAAAAAGCATAAATCTCAAGTGTTAACGTGTCAGAGGTGATCTTCTATACATATTAAATGCTCTTAAGTAGAGTAAAATAGTGTTTGTGTTTCGATTTCTTGAGTTTTTATAGGTTTTAAATATATTTCCTGTTTCTGTTGGTGAAAAATAGCTTCTGATAGTTCAACAACGGATTTAAATTTTAAATTTGTACTTGTAAGTCGGGATATTGGTTGTATTTCCTGTTGTTGTTGTTGTTGTTCTCTTTTATAGTTTCTATAGTTCATACAACGCGAAAATCAACATAATCCTTAATGTCTTTGATGTTCCAGCTTTGAAAACCTTTCTACTCACTGTATTCTGTACATATTGTATCTGTATATTTCTGTTTGACTGCATGTTTCTCGTCTTCTCCAGGCACATATTCCAACATATACAACAGACCCAAAGTCATTGAAGAACCAGCAAAGGTATGAATGTCCTATAAATTCAGCTTGTTAACACAGGAAGTTCCTGTCTTGCCTCTTCTTGTAAGACAGGTCTATGACCAGCTGCTGGTGCACGTCACACCTAACACCTGTGAGATGAGTGTACCTGTTTGTTAGCGTGGCAGTTTCGGCTGTAGCTTCATATCTGCAGCAGTTAAAGACGTTGTGTGTTTGCATGAAACAACAAGATCACTTATAAAACACTGTTATATAAGACAGCACACATACAGGTTTATATTTTATCATATTTATGCTGAGTTGACGCTGACTGAAAGTAAGACTCCTTCTGTCCTCAGTCAAAGCCGATCCGTGTGTCCAGTAAGACGGGCATCCCTCTGGACGTCCTCCCCACCAAAGGCCTGACCACCAAGCAGGCTGAGCGCATGACGAGGATCAACGACTCGGACCTCCCCCGTGTCTCCACCCAGCCCCGCGACAAGGAGGAGAGCAAAGACGAGAGGAAAGCGAGGAAACAGGCCATCAAGGAAGAGCGCAAGGTGAGAAAGAAGATACGGATATAAAACGGCTGATGTCACCCTGAACAACGTGAAGCCTTAGGTCTCATTAAACAAGTTAAAAACGGACAAATCTGCATCATCCGGACCGTGTAGGTGTGTTCTGATCCACTTTGATTGACAGCGAACATCAACAAACAGTCCCACAGCTGTCATCACATTTTCATTCATATATTGTCAAATCTTTTTACTTGTTCTCACTAACTTCACACCAGTGAGTGAGTGCAGACAAAAACAGACACAGAAATGTCTCATATAAAGAAAACAGTTCCAACTGTGGCACAAAATATTTATAAGTTCATGCAGGATTCAATCACTAAATAGTTTATAAGGGCCTTTCTGGTGATATTCTGTGTGTTTGTTTTTATATAAAGTCTACTGAAAAGACCAAAACCAACAACCAGTTAAATAAAAACATGATCTTATGTCTAAAGTCTGATGTATCTTCCTCCTGAGGGAGAATGATCATTCCCACTAATTGTGATTCATATCGCAATCGCAGCATCTGTCAAAAAAAAATCGCAATATGACGTTTTTACCGTATCGTGCAGCCCGGCTGTTCAGAGAGATTACGGATCGACAAACACATTGTCGGCACACACCGGGGTTCTCCCATAGCAAAGCCAAATAATTGTGCCAGTGATTTGGTTGACTTAGCACTTTTCTAAGTGCAAATACATCAGATCGTTCTGTGTTTATTTTGGAAAACAGCTCAACCTTAGTTCAGATATTTACTTAGTGTCATCATGAATATTGCAGTACAACTGTTGGGTCACCTGTTTAATGAGAAAAAAGGGTGTGGGCATGAGAACTGATGCCAACCATGGAGAAAAAGGTGTCAGTGAATGATGAAAATATTTGCACCGTACAAAGTCTAAAACTCTTATTCGTGTGTTTTTAACAGGAGAGGAGAGCAGAGAAGAAAGCCAACAAGGTGGCGTTCAAGGAAGAGAAAGTGCGACAGGAGAAGCAGATGTTGAACCTGAGAACGAACGTTCAAGGCCTGAAGCTTTAGTAGCCGACTGCCGGCGCTCTGCCCGCACAGACTTTGTGCCCAATGATGGTGCCGTCATGGGACACGCTGCTCTTCGCTTCAGTGGAGCTGAGAGGACATCAAACGACCTCAAAGAGGACTGATTGGGGTTGAGAGAGAGGCTCTGGGTTTTAGACCAGATTCTCCTCAAATAATCATGAGATAAAGTTAATTTAACTAAAAAAAAGAATCTACTTTATCTACAGTAAACCAGCTCAGGTCATCATCTTATAACACAGTTAAATCCAGGAAAGTTAAAGGCTGGGTATCAATCTTTTTTTTTTGGGAAGTAGAGTATTAAAAACGTTGTCTGGTCACATGCTAATGTTGTTTACTCGTTCTCTGATCAGATCCTGGTTTAAAATCTATTTATTTTCTTGCAGTGACCGCTCCATGTTAAACCACATTTAAAGGAAAAGTTTGACATTTTTGGGAAGTATTTTTTTAAGCTGAGAAGATTGAGACCGCTCTTAGGTTAGCACAAAGACTGGAAGCAATAAACTTCAAGCATGTCCACCTGCCAGCACCTCTAAAGCTCACTGAATAACATGTTATAGCTTTGTTAATCATTACAAAGACACAAATGTAAAATATGTTTTTATGGGGGCATAAAATCCTCATAAAGTGATTAGTTGTTGGTGTAGTTTCGTCCAGAAGAGTGGTACCGACCTTGTCTGACTCTCGGGCCAGAAAGCAAATAAACGTGTTTCCCAAAAGGACAAATTATTTCTTTAACATTCAAAAACTTCTTCAGCTTCCTTTGTTGAATGAAAAAGAAGAAATTTAGTAAGAAACTGTTTATAATCCTCATGAATCGTATCTGTGTCAGGACTGAACTTTAATCTAAAAGTGTTCGTTGGTACCCAGCCTACAAATACTTCCTTATATGTGGAATATAAGACTAAATAAAATATCAATATTGTTCTTGTCTCTTTTATTCAGATATCATCATACTGTACTTTCCCCACTATCAGACTGGTGTTTACTTCATCTTCAACTGAACGGGGAATGTCTGGCACAGCAACATGTTGACATTCCTTCCTCTCACGCAGAGCGTCCGCTGTGGAAGAGTAGAGATATAGAGATATATATATACATATATATATATCTATATATATCTCTATCTCTATCTATATCTATCTATCTCACTACATATATATATACATATATACACACTCATCTGTCCAATTATAAAGAAATAAAACCTAGTTTAAGTCCATTTTATTTGATAAATTCACATCTTTATATTGGCGTTATAAAGCAGAAGTGGAGGTCAGTGCAGTTAAAGAAATAAACTCTTGTGTTTAATTATAAAATATATTTGTTGTAATTATATAATCAGCTGCATAAAAGCCAGTCTAATTTACAGCTTTAAAAACTGGACCAACCCCTGAAGTGTACGCAAATCATGTAAACAAGCTTCTCGATGCAAACAAAAGAAAAACACTCCCAAGCGTCGCCCACAGAGCCAGTTTTTCAGGTTGCCCAACAGCAGTGATGGGGAAGGTACACCAGGTTATAAACTAGATAAGGTAGGTGTGACACCTACAAGTGTTCTGCCAGGAGTGGAAAGTCCAGACTGTGTGAGAGGTGATAACTCAACCAACAAGGAAAAGTCTTAAAGCTCACACATATATTTTACCTCAGTTGTTCTTTGTCATGGAGTTTTATTTGTCCAGGTTTTGAGAGATCCTACAACAATAGAGTTTAATGTTTGTGAGACTTAAAATGACTCTTTACATAAATAAGTTTCCATGTTTGCTCTGGACAATCCACAGATTAGTTTTCTACCAAAGAAATAGTCCCCATAGAGACTGCTGACAGCGTGTTCTGTATATTATTATTTTGTTATTATGTGTTTGGTCCTTTAAATGTCAGAAAATGGTTAAAAATGTTGGTCGATGTTTCCCAAATTCCAGTGTGATGTCCTTAAATGTTTTGTAACCCAAAGACAAAGTTTACTGTCATAGAGGACTAAGGAAGAAAATATTCACATCTGAGAAGCTAAAATCAAAACAATTTAGATATTTTCTTCTTAAAAAATGACTCAAAAATAATTTATTGTCAAAATTGTTGGCAGACATCTCCAAACATTGGTAAATAAAACCAAAACCAACTACCTGATTGGATGCAAGTGAGAAAATGCTTGTTACTGACACCGTCCCTTTAAAAAAAAATACAACTCTTAACGCTTGCAAAGATTAAAAACTAAGGCACGGAGCACTTTCCTTCATGAATAAAAGCTACACGTGTAACCCACAGGTTCAGCCGATACTCAAAGACAAAAATAAAAAGCTTATACAATTAGTTATTTGTTCTTCCCTCCCTGCTATGTTTTCAACTAGCCGTTGTCAAACAATACAATCTGATAAAACGCTGCAGTTGCTGAGATTGGCTGCAGGTCGGGGATCTAGTACGATAACATCTGTAAAGCAGGCATAAAACAGCTGGAAGGTGACTGGAAGGTCACCGGTTTGTTTCAAACAGCAGCGTTCACAACTGCATCTTCTTTAAAATAATGTTTAAAAAAGGGGGAATAAATGGGAGTTTTTCAAAAATTTGAAAAAGATTCAAGAATTTCGCTCTTCATTGTCTTTTGAATGCTCTTTGTGTTGCAGCTCTTTGTGTTGCAGCTTTAGTCCCTGAGTCTCCTTCAGACTCAAAAAAAAGCTAAAAGGCAAACCAACGATGTCATTAAATGTGCTTTCTAAAAGGCCCCGACACACCAAAACCTACAACGCTGCTCATTTGTTATTCAAAACAGAACACCAGGATATCCGCGCATGTGAGCGATCAGACGAGGTGAGTCGTTTGCTGCTTTGCTCACTTCCCATTCAAAGTGCTCAGCCGGCCACACAAAACTACATAAAAACGAGGGCTGCAGACGCTCACCGACGGCCCCGACATTGGCCGATGTGTCAGGGCCTTGAAGGTAGAGTGTGTGTAATTATAAGCAATCGGTTTTCTGCAGCTCAATGCCGCTTTTACAATCCTGAGAAATCTGGAGGGAGAGGAGGGCTTAACTGTCACATTTCAGATTCATAAATCAGTGCGTTTCCAACAGTGCAGTCAGAAAGAAGAAGCTTCCCCTCAGGAGTCACTCTTCTTGAGCAAGGCACCAGCTCTTCCCCGAGTGCGCCGGGTTGAGGCTTTATTCAGTCCAGAGGTACGAACGTGTGATTGTGGTCTTGGGAGTTAAAAATCACCATTAAATTAAACTTAAATCCCAAATCGAGTCCTTGGATGGTAGTTTTACCTCGCGCTGTAAGCATCGACCATATCTCCATCGCCTATGTCCATCTGCACAAAGTGAAGTCTGTCATAGTTTCTTTCATGGGGTATGTCCTCCTCTTCCTCCTGTTCTTCCTCCACCTGTTCCTCCTGTTCCTTTTGCTCCTCCTCCTCATCCATTGAAACACACTCTGTTCTCACAGAGTCGTCTGTACAGTCAATACGATTGTAGACGTCCGGATCGACTTCAACATGATAATCCTGTGCTCCGTTCTTTGGCAGCTGGGACAAGAAGACAGAGAGGACAAAAAGGGTTTTATAAAAAAAGGTTAAAAACAACTAAAGCAACATGATTATCGATGTTTTTTTTTTTTTTTCCAGCCTTACCAGAGGCTTGGGCAGAGGAGGTAGGTCCATCGTCCAGGCCTTTGCCTTAAAGATGAATATCGTAACCACAACGAGTACGACGACGAAGACGGACAGCAAGATCACAAGTGTTTCCATGTGAAACTCTGCAATCAAAAAAATAATTACGTTTCATTGTTTGGACATTTTAGGATTCAGAAGTTGTTTGATTTGATTTTTAGTATTAGTAGTTTAGAAGTATACCAACATGTTCACTTACTTCCTAAAAACCATTCCATTTTTTAGAAAAGCTGCAGTGAAATCAGGCCTTTTAGACCGCAACAACCCCCCCAAAACCCCCTGTGAAGTCCTGGAGGCACAGCTTTAAGTAGATATATCTGATTTAACTTTTACTTAAGTAAGGTTTTGAATGCAGGAATGCTGAATTTTATTGCAGCGCCGGCCATCACAGACCTGAACGCCACTTTGTTCCTCTAAGAAGCTTCAAAGGATCTTCTCCCGGCTGTTTATTTGTATTCGGAAAAAAGGTCAACATGCTAAATGTCCAATCAAACACAGACAGACACGTTTTTGGTGCAGTTGGAGTCTTTGAGGAAACCTTACCAGGGGATTCAGTCACACAGATGGGGTCTGTCTCTCTGAACTTCACTTGGCCGACACCAGAACTTGCAAACAACAATCCTTTCAGCACCACGCACTTCTCCACACCCTTAGGAAACGAGACGCAGCTTTCCTGATTCGGGTTGCATTCACCGTTATATACCTCCTGAAAGTCACAGAACAAAGATAATTAGCTTAGCTTATTTGAATGTTATTACAGTAAGGACCATTTAACATCCATTGTTTTGGAGCGTATCTCTATTCATTGCCGCTTGCAGCTTTAATTATTATTATGAGGGGAAATCTACGCAGACTCATTAAGATCTGTATGAGGCCACTTTGGACAACCACCCTCATGAAGGTGAGCCCTGCTATCGAGCTTCTGAGTGACTTTCCAGAGCTCTAAACTCCCTTTTCATACTATTATAAAGTATTGTGCAGCATTACTCCAACCGCTCCATCACGACACGCCCACACTGACAAAGCGTCTTGTTTTTATTTTGTTCTGAACGTCCAGAGTAAGGATGCAGATATGGAAGAAAGCCGCTCTTTAAATACACAGAGCATCCTGCTGTAAAATCTTTTGAACTTTATTTGTACTTACATCAGGTGACACTTCGACACTGAACGTAAATAAGCCAGAATCCTTCTCTCTAGCCAGTTCCAGTTCTTTGTAGAAGTTGAAGGGGTTCGTGAAACTAATGATGGCCTCTGAATCCCTCTTAATCAGTTCCACAGGAGGGAAATCTAATTCACCTACTAGGAGAAATTGAAGTGTTATTCACCTAAAAGAAACTTTAATTGTAATAACTCAAACATGATCTTCTAGCTTGAACCACATTCTAGTGGGTTACTTCTGATTTACAGGGAAATAAACACATCTTTTACATCTACATGTTACTTACATATATCGGCCGTCTTTAAGATGTTAAAGGCGAACGTTTTAGATGTCACTGGTCGAGACCGGGTTCCTCCCTGTATGGCGGTTACATTGATGCAATATTTGCCCATGTAGTGATCTTCAGATTCCCAGATGAAGTTGCTCAGATCATATTGACGGTCTGTGGTATTAAACTCCTTCCAGCTATGAGCAACAATACAGCAAAAAAAGAAATAAAATACCATTCAGAAACAAAAAAAACTCTTTATACTTTATGTTAATTGTACTAATTACTTAAAGTCTATGAATTTTCTGTTATTAATCCTATCAGCATTCAATAACTTCATAATTGATTAACAATTTTAATTTGACTATTTTTAAAGCTTATATGTATGATTATATATATATATATATATATATATATATATATATATATATATATATATATCCTACAGTGTGATGTTTGAATGATGTATGTGCAGAGTTTGACACTAGAAGAGCTGAGAGTGGACAGTTTCTCTGAGCTCCACCAGTGCACACAGTTTTTAATGAGGTAGAAGGAGAAGGTGACGTTTTAGGGATTTTAACACATCATTGTTCCATGCAGACTATCTGTATATACTGTATGTCTTAACGCATGTCTGGGAGGGAATCTTCTTCTAATTCCAAAGTTTACATTCACTCATTTCAGCTTCAGTGTGGTTGAATCTTACCCGGGGGAACCGCTGATATTTATGCTGAAGACGGTTTGTGGTTGCGGCTCGCTGTATTCCCAGCTGGCGGTGACTCGGAAATTCTGGCAGCTCACGGTGACGTTTGTTGGAGGAAGAACTGCTAGTAAACAGAAAAAAGACCCATAAACAGACGTATAACCTGAACACGCTTTCATTAAAAGGAGATTTCCAGGAGATTTCTTGACAACAAACGCTCATGTAATTTATCAGTAGGCCTGGTATTGACAAATAGTTTCCATGATGAGCGACTCAGGTTCATTACAGGGAGGCGAGTCTGCGTTTATGGGACACGTTATCTCGTTTTCCAGTCTAGTCCTACTGCAGCGTCTCTTGTGATTTGACTACAGTTCTCCTCTAAACTAGGTTTCCATAGGCGATCTGAGTGAGGGGCTGAAAAACAATAAAACCATCAGATTAACAGATTATTTCCAGGATATTTGGCCATTTTAATCCATTTCCAGGTGTTACCATGGCGGGAAAAACTGGTCTCTAAATGTTCATTATTTTCAGGAAAAGTGTTTTTAGGGGCATTTCTTTGTACCTTTACTAGAGGTAGGGTGACGCAGTGAGAACAATCAGTGCTACACGTCAACTATGCAACAACACATACATACCTGCACCCTATCCAGGGAGGGGCAGAACATACCTCCAATCAATAAAACAATTCCACTAACACACCTTTAATCCTTCACCCTGGTTAAAAACTCTACATACAGACTTTGACATGAAGTTTTGGGAACCTCTGATCTCGGCTACTGTAAATAACTTTAATCAGAAGGTGATTCGTTTCCATTAAAATACACCATGTGAGCAGGAATGAGTCATTTCTCACATCCGTTTTTATCTCAACTCGAGATGACCACCACACACACACACACACACACACACACACACACACACACACACACACACACACACACACACACACACACAAAGAGGGAGCGTCTTTACTGCCTCGTCTCATTGATTTCAAGGGGGAATCCGATCTGGTGTCAGAAGTTAAGAATCAGTCCCTGCAGCCTCCTCAGTAAAACCCCCCAAAAACCCCACTCCAATATCGCCCAATTCAGCCACTGATACTGAGATACTGTACATATATAGGCGGTTATGGAGGTAATGCTAATTTCTAACATAAAACCTTAGGATACTCAACGTTTCCAGGTTCACAGAGGGCCTCTATTGGCTGGCAAATAGACTATAAAAGGCAGCAGTCATGTTTTATACTGATACAAACACAAATTCCTCTCTAATAGACCTCGCTTGTGGATCTAGTGGTCATATAGAGGCACGAGTATTAGACTGTCAGACTGATAACCAGTTCAAAATAAGGTTTGTGAGAACTGATCCTCAGCTTCTGCTACACTTTCTTTACACCTCTAATTATAAAAACTCCTCTCTGTTTACTTTATCAATCTCCTCTCGACCATGTGGGGGTTTGTCAAACATTAAAAAAAAAAAAAAAAAAGGAGAAACTTAAGAGACTCCAGATTATGAAATGAAGGTTTGAGGATGTCACCCTCGTGTGCGTATGAGGACATGAGTAGACGTCTTCCTAAGAAAACAGCAAGAGCCCTAAAGCCGGGAACAGGAAGTGCTTCTATACTGAGATACAACATGTAGTCACAACTTCCAAAGAAACCACAGAAACTGTTCACAAAAGGTTGTTAGAAGATTAATCAGCACCAGGATACAGAGAGAAGGTTGTCTGGTTGTTACACTGGTTAAAAAATTCACTGGAAAGAGAAGTTAAGTTGATATCTGGAGCCTTGAACACATCTTTAACCCTTTAAATGATTATTTTCACTAATAAGTGATCAATTAATTGAGAAAAAGTAGTTCATAACGTCTTTAGATTCTCACAAATGCTCATTACAAGTTCAAAGAGTGTTCAGTTTATGATATAGAAACAGGCAAAAGGAGACTTTAGGCTTCACAGGTTAATTATTAAATCATTTTCTAACATATTTTTACTACTCTCCAATAAACTAAAGCTCTTAGGCTAATCAATAGTCTGTTAAATTCCTCTCACAGATGTTAATATGTGTATTTTAACGCAGATGTTAATATGTGTGAGTGTGCAGCATTTATAGAAGTAAATTAACGGGCTATATTTATTTAATTTACACGCATTAAGTGTGTTTGTACAGGTTAATACCGTGAGATTACCGGTTTAAATAAAAGGATTAAATAGAAATTAAATGTTAATGTTTTGGAAATATATTTATATTTTCTGCAGCTACAACTTGAACGAGACCGAGACACATTTTTACGTTTAATTTTATTTATTTTTTTGTTATTATTTAGTGTACTGAGCAGTAAAACTTCTACTCGAGTTATTATATTTATTTAAAATATATATTTAAAATCTAACTTTACTTTTTACTAATATATATATATATAAATAATAAAGAACTACTATAAAAGAGTTTTAACTTACCAATCACAGCAGACACTCCACTGACCAGGAGGAGAAGGAGGGCAGTGAACGCACCGTGCAGGGACATGGTTCTGGGTTCGGACCCGGTTCCAACTGACACCCGGCATACACACCCGGCTTCCGTCCACAGCACCGAGTCGCCAAAAGTTTCGCAGTTTCTGGTCTGGTTCAGGTCCGTGAGGGACTTCACACACACATCTACCTCCGTCTCTGGCTCGTGAGTAACCACAGTGCTGACGGTAATTAGCTCGTGCCACCGTGAAACACACCTTATTGACGTCACCGGGGATTTTTATTGTTTCTTTTTTTCAAAGTAAAAGATTTAGGTATTTCAGGATTTGAATTGAAGGAGAGCTGGATGCATAAATACAGGTAGGTGAGCAAATGGATTGGCTTAAGTGAAAAGAAAACGACACATTTACTCACTAGTAGTTTTAAAAAGCACAAATGATAGAAATAAATACATAAATAAAGAATCAGAAATACTTTATTGATCCCCTGGTTGCTTCACAGTTGCTCAACAAGACATTATAAGACATATAAATAAGAAAAAGAACATTAAAATGAGTGTTTTTGTCTTACAATATATAACAAATATATATAGAAAAGGTACAAATATAAAATAAGAGTGTGTTGAAATATGTACATTATACTAACAGTATATAACAATAGATAGAAAATAACAATATACAGTATAAAAGAAGTGTTATGAAAAAATACTAAAAAGGCTGAGAACTGGATCCATTAATAAGTAATTAAAACAGAACAGTTTACAGTATAATTTCAGTGTTAAATAATACATAAATAAATATGATAGTCCAGCCCCACTGAAATTAAGACACATTTTTATGTACATAATTTAAAAAATATATATATATATATATAAAAATAATACAAGACTGTCAGAATAGTAATATAATTAATACATATACATATTTAATAAATTACAACTCCATAATTAAATAAATTGATGTAATATGGTGTTTTAAAACTAAATTATTCTCAATCATTCGCAGGTGAACAGAAGTCTTTTATTGTGAAGTCACTATAATTTAATTTCCGGTTTGTTGTGTCTTTTGAACAGGTAAATCAGCTCTGAAGGAAAACTGGGGTTTGTCGCCACCTACAGTTCCTTTATTTATCTTTTTATATTGCTTTTATATCTTATTTTAATTACTTTCCATGTCTCATAATAAACACTTTAAGTTGCCTTGTTGGTAAAATTAAGTTATTTTAAACCGTAACAGCATATCTTAATAAAATAAGTCACACAACTTAATCCTCCAGTAATAACTCAGTTGTTTTAACTACACTTAAAGTTGTGCAGTAATTTAAATATGGGTGATGTGATTCTCATTTTCTTTAAGTTTACTTTATATTTTTACTAAAATGTCAGCCCCAAATTAATTGGCTACCATTTTGATCATCAATTAATTGTAAATATATATATATTTAATCACACGTCAGCTGAAAATTGTGTAAAATCAATTTATGTGGTAACATTTGTATAAAAAAGACAAATCTAAGTTACTTTATTCTGATAAATAACACATTTTAAAGGAGAAATGCTGCATATAAGTGTAAAATCTCTGCTTATATGCACTTAATAAATTATTTCTTTTGCACTTTATTGTCAAACTGTTGTTGTAATATTCTCAATAAAGTTTATTTTAAAAATAAAAAGTAAGACAACGTTTAAGCTGTACAAGAAATAAACAAAACAATGCAAACAGCAGCTTCTATACATTTTAATTATATATGAAACAGGTTGTTTAAACTCATATTAAACAACTAGAAAAGTAAATAATATTAATCTTACGAAGCAGATTATATTATATTTTTGACATCACGTCACTCAAAGTGCATTAAATGTAGCTGTATCACCCAGTATTGATAAGTATTTCACAATCTGCACCTCTTCTGTGGCTCATGTTAATTTAATAATGAGCTTTAACTCTTTAAAGTCGAGCAGCAGAAGTTAAATAACAATGTGCATCTCAGATTCAGTGTTATTATCAGGTTAACAGGCTCATAGTCAAGTACAAATAACTCTTAGAAGAAGCAATAAAGCATAAAAATACTTCGTCACTGAAGCTTCTTTTTAAAAAAAACAATCTTCCCTCGTGTGACGTGTCTGTTGTCCAGCTGTCGTTGCTGCTGTGAGTGACAAAGCATGTTTATCGCGCCGTGTCAACAGCATCCAACTTCAGCAGAGTGAAAAGCAAAAGCCTCTTAAGGGATTACAGCCGCAGTCTTTTACCGAGTCAGAGAAGGAGAAGAGAAACAATATTCTCCCAGGAAAAAAAATCATCAGAACAGCCCTTACATGGGGGAAAAATGACAAACTATTGAGAAGCACTCTGCAGTAATCATCTTTTATGAAGTCAGTTCTCAACCTTTAAAGGTTTGTTAGCTCCTCCTCAACATGAGTTCCCCCTCTAACCGCGTTCAAGGCTTAAAGAGATAAAACTCTCAGATATTTTCACCCAAAAGAGAAGCTAAAAGATTAGAGAGAAAAAAGTCCAAAAACATAGTCTAAAAATGTGTAATCAGAACCTCTTAATCATCTCACGACCTGGTGGTCTGATGACCCAGTGGAGGGGCCCCGACCCCCCCAGGTTGGGATCATAAAGTGGTTTAAACTAACTCCCCCTGCAGCAGCTACAACAGTAAAATGCTGCTCTTATATTAGTATGGCGTTAAATATAATAATATATCAGACTCAGGAGACATTTTACTGCAGAACAAGTACTTTTACTTTTGATTCTTTAAGTACATTTTGCTCACAATACTTTAATACTTCCACTTTGACTATTTTTACTTTTATTTACCAGTATTTTTGGTCAAAATTGGGTCATTTCTGGTCATTTCTGCCACTAGGGATCATGGGAGTTGTTGTCTTCACCACCATTGCCGTCATTGCAGTCAGCTTCTCCCGGTTAGGATTCCTTCAGTGTTCATGGTTCAGGAGGTTTCTAACAGGAGCCCAATGATCCACAGAGGTCTCCTCCTCTCCAACACAAACAGACCCGCTGATTAAAACCACTAAACACACTGAATAAAGCAGTTCCACCTTAAAAATCACTGCTTCTCCCACGCTGTTGGACAGACAGAGGACGTCCCGGAGGGGCTGCGAGCCGAGCTGCTGCTAACGTTAGAGTTAAAAAGCACCAAGATCTAAACAGTGGATGGTAACAATGTGGCTTCAGACTGGATCAACAGTCAATGTGTGACAGCTTCTGGGACCGTTTACCTGATATACCTGAAATTGTTAATTATATAATGTAAGAACGCAACTCAGTTTAAATGTTTATAGACATTTAAATGCAGAAATGTGACATAATGTAGTTTTTAAGTCTAAATGTTAACAGGCGGTTGACATAAAGAATACAATAACTGAGATGTCAGGGAGGGCAGAGGGATTACTCCGGCTACTATTGGCGGTGTCATGACAGGTCTGCCTTTTACCCATGATCCACCGCTGCAATGCTCGGACCCCGGCTCTTATATTTTCTGCCCACTCAGCTCGCCACGTGAGGAGTAATTACAGCCGCCGTCTGCCCGCCCAGAGGCCAGTAATCCTGCATGCAACCACAAATCCCCCCCCCACTGGGTCGGTCCAGACAGATGTTGAACCTCACAGCTGGACGGTGGACCCGTCTTTGATCGGAGATGGTATCAGCGTTGCCACGGGCAACATCTGGCTGATGCACTGGATGCTGTTTGTCTAATTAACAGAACAATGACACAGAGTTGGTTGCTGGAGGACGAATATGAGGCAGTGTTTGTACTTTCACTGAAGTTATTACACACAGATAAATAATAATAATCACAATCTGTTGCCATGCCATCACACACTGAGAGTAAAGTTTACCTTTTTAAAAAGATCCAGTTTGGAGGATCAGGTGATGGATTCAACCCTGAATCAGAATAAGTTCTGTCACACAAATGTATAAAGTTTTATTAAACTTTTGTCTTTTTTATTCACTTTATTAAAAATCACTGAATATCTTTAAATAGAAACTTTACGCTATTATTCTCCAGATGGATCAAGTCTCTGTAATCCAGCTCGTCATCATCATCATCATCATCATCATCATCATCATCATCATCATCATTATCTTCATCATCATCATCATTATTATCCTATCTTGATCATCTTATCATCATCATCATCATCATCATCATCATCATCATCATCATCATCATTATCTTCATCCTCATCATCATCATCTTCATCCTCATCATCATCATCATCATCTTCATCTTTATCTTTATCTTTATTATCTTCCTCATCATCATAATCATAATCATTTTCATCATCATCTTTATCTTCATCTTCATCATTATTATCCTCATCATCATCATCACCTTCATCATCATCATCTTCATCCTCATCATCATCATCTTTATCTTCATCTTCATAATCATCATCATCATAATCATAATCATTATCTTCATCATCATCATTATTATCCTCATCTTGATCATCTTCATCCTCCTCCTCCATCATCATCTCATCATCATCATCATCATCATCCTCATCATCATCATCATCATTATTATCCTCATCCTTATCTTCATCATCTTCATCTTTATCGTCATCATTATCTTCATCCTCATAGTTATTATCCTCATCATCATCATCCTCATCATCATTCTGCCCAGTCAGGAATCGCAGCCTCTGATTGGTTGAGAGCTGATTGTTATAAATTATAATATTATATAAATGATGTCAGTGAGTTATTTAGAAAAGAGAGTAAAATAAAATAAGCAGCAGATTTAAAGAGAAAACGCAAACAAATAAACAAATAAATAAATAAATAAATAATATATAATTTGTATTTTATAAAATATAATTTATGATATTGAAATCTTATTTGTCATGTTTATTTAAGATTAAAAATACTTAATACTGAATCTAACGGAATAATTAAAGATTTAAACAAAACAAATATAATTATTATCACATTAATATAAGTAAGGAAATATATTAGTATTATTAGTTATTAGTATTATCATATTATTGTAATATTATCAATAGGGTGTGTGTGTGTGTGTGTGTGTGTGTGTGTGTGTGTGTGTGTGTGTGTGTTACATTAATCCTCATTGAAATATTGCACGAGAGAGAAAATACCTGAAGCGGTTTTGTTTTGATTAAATATGTATAGGATGGATTAGGGAGGTTTATCTGAACCTTTCACAGTATGGAAAAGGCTGCAGGGTGACGAAGGTCAGATCCTCACTAACGCTGATGATCTGACCTGTTTTCACTGGAATTCATTCATTCAATCAGGAAGACGATGATAAAAAAAACGTCCTCACCGCAGTGCTGAAATACTCTGAGTGTAAAAGTTCTGTATGAATAAACTGTATTTATTTATTTTCAGTATTATTATTAAATTAAAATACACGATTCACAAGTTTTCTGAAGACTGTGAGATGTAGTTGAAAGCTCTGGAAAAAGCTAGTAAGTGGACCTTGAGCGATATGCAATCACGTAGTATTTAATTAAGACAAAATGACAATAAACATCCAATAATAATATAAATATATAAACACTGTATAAAAGAATTTCAAAATAAAACTATACAGATATAGAGCGAAGATTAATCCTGATTCTATATATTAAAATATAACATATATAACAACACATATTAGACAGCAAGTAACTGCAAATCATAATAAAATAGATTTAAAAGTTAAATATTATTAAATATTATTAATATATCAAATGATACATACATACATAAATATATTTATATATATTCTTGCCTTCTTTTTTTTTTTTTTTTTTTTTACTATATTTCACTTTTTCTTTCACCAGCTTTCTTCAATAGCCTAATTCCCTCATGGGATCAATAATGTTATTTATATTTTGACTGATATCAATATCAGATGAGCTGTTTAAAGCTCCACACAGAAGCTTCAGAGAGTCGCTGGATTTATTTAAATCAGCAAAATCTTCACTCCGTCTGGTTTAAATCCTCAAACACGCCTTCAATCAAAGGATTTAGAGAAGCCATCAGGGCTCCGACTGCAGATGATGAGGACACACACACACACACACACACACACACACACACACACACACACACACACACACACACACACACACACAAATATCTCCACAATGTTAAAAACTTGACATCTTGTGTTTGAAACTCTCAAAGGGAAAAAAGGGACTGGAGCACATCTGACTGACAAACACACAACGTAAACACATAAAGTCGTCACTGGATAATTAGTGAATTTGAACCGTCCCTCTCATGGGTTTGCTCTCTCTCATCTCTGCTCAAGCTCTGCGCTACCTCTCTCTCTCTCTCTCTCTCTCTCTCTCTCTCTCTCTCTCTCTCTCCCTTTCCTGTCACTCTTCAGCTCACAATAAATTAAAGGTTTATTAATAAGAAGATTATTTATTGTTTGTTATGATTGTTGTTGAATCCTGAATGGATCCGAAGATTTCAGGGGTTTGAATCCTGTGCCAGCAGCTTGGTCACCTTTGGTGTTAATGGGTGGGTGGGAAGCCAGAGAGGGATCATCGGACCAGCCAACAGAAGACACAGAACTATAATAAAACGAAATAAATAACATGAAATGGACATAATAATGTAACGTTTACATTCAATTAATTCTCCATGCCAAAAAATCTTAAAGTAAAAAAGAGTAAATAATAAAATAAAGTAGTTTCTTCATTTATATACTTCTCAAACAGCATCCAGGATGTTATATAATATACCTCAGTGGATTAATATTTAAGATATAAACTTTGAAGAGCCGATCACAAACTACATTCACAGAGCCTTCTCTCTGATGATCAGCCTCGTCCTGAGTTATAAAACAACCAGAGAGCTGATAGAACAATGGCCAAGAGTCAGGGAGAAGAGAACACTGAATAGGTCAATAAATATTCACAGGAAAATCTAGAACTAGAAAAAACCTTAATTTTACACAAACTTCCTGCAGTTGTTTTCACTATTTGTGTTAATTGTGCAGTTGATCGGTTGTTCTGCACTATAGATACAGTGATATAGATAATGTTCATATTTGCCACACATCATTTCAAAAGAAAGACTTGATCAAACCTGTAAACTGTTTAAATTTAGAGTAAAGATTTCACCTTTGAATTTAAGGTTTTATTTGGCTGCTCAGGACAGAGTTGTGTATGTATTTTATATTTTTAATCATTTAAGATTAATCTGAGCTCCCCTTCTTTCAACAGATGGAATAACTTATCGCTGGAGCAGTTTTCAAACACAGTTAATTACAATGGATTTGTTGCAGTGTGTGTACGAAGAATGATAAGAAAAAGTAAAATAACAACTGTAATGATAAAGTTAAATGGTTAAAAAAGGATGTAGAGTGGGTCATCCACCAATCAGAAGGTTGGCGGTTCGATCCCCGGCTCCTGCAAGATACTGAACAACAAATGTGCATCAGTGTGTGAAAGTACAGCCCCAAATATCTGTGTAGTGGATGAATGTATGGAGGGTTTCCTCTCTCTGTAGCCTGCTGATGAAGAATATTCACACACACACACACACACACACACACACACACACACACACGTAACAGCTGTGTAATTTGACAGTCAGTGTGTTTCTTCCTTAAGTTCCTTCCACGTGCCTCTGAGACTAGATCTGAAGTGGAGCCCCGCCTTTTTCTGTCACCGAGCTTTACTGGCACACAAACTTGATCCACACACACACACACACACACACACACACACACACACACACTCTATGATATAGGGCAGCTGCACGGCTCTAAATCCTCATCATTGGCCTGAATCCTGTTGCTCTGCTGCATGTGTCCGCATGTGAGCAGCTGCTTAGCTCGTGGCCCCTCCCATCAGGCAACCACCTCTGGGCACCAACTCACCCTCGACTCCCACCAACCTCCCTCCCCATCCTCCCCCCTCCCGTGACCAACAACCATCCCCTCCCTTGTTCTCTGCTCTGTTTACGCCACTGTGGCCAACAACAACTGGATCCTTTAGTTGATCACCATCTATTTACTCTACAAACACACATTTCTCCCTCCGTCCGTCCCTTCAGCATCATGCGGGTGCTACTGGAGAGCAGCTGGATGAGGTTTGGACCAGCAGGCAGAGGGTCGTACGACTGGGTGACAGGATCACCTTCGACACAGGACAAGCAGGTGTGTTTGTGAGTTCATGTCCCTTTCACATTCACAGTGTAATTCTGCTTGTTTCAGAGATTAATTGAAGCTAAAGTTTAAAGACACTCACAGCTGCAGCCTTATATCAAATGGAAATAGTCAACTTGTCTTCTGCATCATTTTAGACACATTCTGCCAGAATTCAGCCTCAAATATCTGATATCTGAGAGTTTGGTGTCTTGACAACAACCTAAAATGATGCTCAGCGATGACACATATTTATAATACTGCTGTCAGTGTTTACTTGAGTCTAACTTTTACATTTTAAGATGGATTTTAACTGGGATCATTTGAAGGTAGAACCGTTTTTAAAAGAGGGAACGTAATCAAAGGTACAAGTTTTTAATGCTGTTTTTCTTAATGTTGGTGCTCTGTGTTGTTTGCATGTCTTCCTGTTAAGTCCAGACAGTACAGGTCAATAGTTTAACAGTTAACTTTTGGTGAATTGTACAGACAAGTATAGATGAAATAGACAATGTTATTCAGACATTAGGCTACAAAGGCTGTGTGGTATGGAGAGTAAACATAAAATAAACATAAATGAAGTAAATAAATACGTTTCTCAACATTTGACTCACATTTAAAATAATTTTGGCATTTTTTTGTGAGAGGGTTGAGCGTGAGAAGATAATAAACAGATTCATATTAAATCAATTAGTAAATATATAAATAAATGACAAAATAAAATAAGAATAAGATAAATAAATAAATAACACATTAATAACAGAAAGATACATTTTGCACATGTTCCTTATACACATTTATGAAGCTGCTCTCTTTATATGAGAAATACACTAAAGATTTAGATACTATTGAATTATTTTTTCTATATTTTCTTTATTTAACAACTTAAATCTGCCTCTAGTTTCTTGTAACTGCACAAAGGAAGACTGTTTATTGTCTGTTTTTTAATTGTGCCACATTATTAGTTATTATAGAGAAAAATACTCAATGCTAAAAACAAAAGTAAAGTGTAGCAGGCTGGAGAAATTGACTCTTTTTCTTTCTGTATTTCCGTCTGTGTTTCCTCCTTTAATCCTCATGAAGTCTCAGACTTTTTAGGGATAGTCACACTTTGTGCTGAGGGCAGATGAGTCACACTCAGACGGATTGAGAATTAAAAGCTGCAGGGGACTGGAGAGTCTGCAGGGTGCTGCTGGGTCATCCAGGCAGCATTAACTAATTGCTAGAAAAACTGAGGCAGGGGGAATCTGGGACACTCTGAGCGGATGTAAGCAGCACCGCCACATGTTGTCCTCCTCTCACAGCTGGAAGGGGTGCAGGATCACCCTTCTTGTCTGGATCAAACACACACTTGTAACGCTCTGTGAGCAGCGGCAGATTCACAGCTGCTCATTCTCACTCTGGATCTGCAGCACATTCATTTTAACTCACAAAAGATCTGTGATAAAAAAGCAGAATGAAATGGGAGAAAAATATGTTTTAGGCATTCGTTGTAAATCACTGATGCAACCTGATGAATGATGAACTGTCTCCATAGCGATCTTGTGCTCTTGCAGCTGAATGTGTGACGTTAAAATCTCGGAAAAGGTTGAAATTAACCTTAATTTAAAGGAAAATTCTCTCTTTTATTTATCGCTGTACTTAAATTTATTTGTATTTTATGTAACTTTACTACATCTCAGAGGTAAATATTGTACTTTTCAAACATGCCCTTCCTGTCTAGTGGAAACCACAAATCTCCAATTCACTGCATCTAAATTAAACACAAACTCAATTTTGTTCAAAAGATTCTTGATTAAGCAGCTTTTACCAGTTTTTTTAAATGACACTAATGTAGTTACAGTAACATTCCTGATTAAGTACTTTTTACTGGGTATTTTGTTTTCACAGTACAGTAATGCAGTTATTTTAACTTAAGTTTGTAAGTTAAAAAACTTTCTAATGTACTTTTTGCTACTTTTTTTAACAATACAAATAAAACCTTTAGTCAGAGTCACTTAAAATTATGTTTTTTTTAAACAAAATTTGGTTTATTTTACTTATTTTTGATGTAATCCGTTTCAACAATTTGTTTTAGTTAAATTACCTCATCTGTTTTTACACTGTTGTGTTGATGTTTGTGATAAACTGAAGGAAAAGGGTTTCTTTTGGGAAAAAGTAGATAAACTACTAAACACACATCTGATGAAGCAACGTGCGAAATTTGCTTTTAATGTAATAAATCAGTGTCAGTCCTCTCCTGGTGTAGGCTGGAATATATTTTTGTTGTCTCTTCCTTTACGGGTTGAGACATGTTATGATGATCTTATAGAATTTGATGCAGTGTTGTAGATTAGAAGCTGTTGTAAAGGAAATAAAGAGTTTCAGAGCCATTAGCTCAACACCAAATATGCAAATAAAGACAAGAACTGTCATCTGATTACGTCTTTTTTTCTGTAACTGGAGGTTAATTACAGTAACCTTGTTCTTGTATCCTGACTTTAACTCAGTTATATTTAATCTGTTACTCCCCAAGCCCGATGATATTCTCATATAATCCAATATAGCTGTATGATTAAGAAAGGGGCCATTCTGCTTGATGAGCACTTTTACTTTTGGTAGTTTAAGGTTTTTGGTAGCACTTTTACTTGTTACAGTATTTTTACACTGTAAAGATTAAAGATCTGAATACTTCTCCCACCTCTGACCATAGAGATGCCAATAAAATTCAACAGCAACTGACTTACAGTTGTGATTTCTGGATCTAGTTGATAATCCCTCCTAAAGAATCTGTTAATAATAATAATAATGACCTTTTTCAAAACAGAGTTAGGAAGTGCCTCACATTACCAAAGCCAGCTGGGGCAAATAATTTAAACAATTAAAAGCTACAGATTAATTGAATAAATTGCCATTGCTAATACACGATAAGAACAATAATCCTAAAACGAGACATTAAACAGCGTGCTAGAATAAATAAAAAGGCTCTTAGATATGTTTTAAGAAGTGATTTAAAATGTGTCCCTGATTCAGGAAGCCTTAGACCATCAGGAATGAAGTGTCATCTGTTGTCAGCAAAGAACTTGATCTTATTAAATGAAGTCTCCCTTGTCATTTTCCAGGGCTACAACTGGAATGAGTTGGAGCTGGGAGAGGACAGGAAGTCGGAGCTGGTGGTCTACGTTGTCCTCCCGGTCGTCTCCGTCCTCCTGCTGGCTCTCCTGGTCGGTTTGATCTACCGCCGGTGTTCCCGCAGCAAACTGAGCCTGGCCAACATCATCGCTCTGGACCTCCAGGACGCAGAGAGCAGCGCCGAGTTCCTCTCCTCCCTGACCAGGAACGCAGAGCGCCACACCAGCACCAGCTCCGATGGATCGGACGGGGTCTTCGTCATGGTCTACCTGCCCCCGCCCTACGAGGAAACGCTCACCAAGATCACCCGGGCCGCCAGCCTCTCCAGCTCCAAAGACGCAGAGTCGATTAAGATAGAAGACCTGGAGGCCAAACTGTGTCCGGAGCTCAAAGCCAGTGGCCGTTATGTGTGATAAAGCATTAATGCTGCAGTGTAAATAGACATTATAAGTCCAATATTTGCTGTTTTTATAACGTTGTTGTCTGCAAATCATACTTATGTAATTTGCCACTCAACTCTGCAGCTTTTTAGCCTCTTTTAGCTCATAGTTTTGGTTTTACAGTACACTTCCTGTATGGTTCAGCGCTCTCATCAAGCTCATTTCCAGCCACAGTTCAGCTGTTTTCATCAACGACTCTCTGGTAAACTTTATGCAACACAAACAGCCACAGTTAAGAGACTAGCCAGTGAAAGAAAGTGAAACATCTAGCAGCTAAAGAGCTAAAGACGAGTCAATGCTGGACTCATCAGGGGGACACAAACACAAACTCGCTGTGGGATGATAATGTTGCTCTGTATCTGTCTGCTGGATGTGTAAACAGGCAATTGTTTGTATGTTGGCTTGTTCTGGAGTTCTTCTTCCAAAAATCAATAAATGCAGTTTTAAATGAGTCGCATGTAGCATTTTATCATCATTTAAAGGTCCAGTGTGTAACATTTAGGAGGATCTCTTGATAGAAATGTAATATTCATAGGTAAGTTTTGATTAGTGTAAAATCTGTTTTTGTTACCTGAGAATGAAACAATTATTTATCTCTGGTTCTTGAAGCGGTTCCATTCAGGATTGAAAAACACTCAACAATAAATAGTCTTATTGTAGGAATAAAGCTGCCTCCTGTGTGAACTGTGGTACTCGGGGTAAAAAGGTTTGACAAACACTAATTTCATAAATAACAAATCTGAGATAAATGACTGTAAACAACATTCAATATGAGCAGTCATCGTCCTCATTGTCTAGTTTTAAAAGGTGCAGCTGAGGCTGATGGGAAAGCATTTGATAAAGGTCATGGCTACTTGTCTAAAAATCCTTATATTGAACATCCATGCAGCTCTTTTAACTTTTTGTATTTAGGCTTTAATATTCTCTTCAAAATCCACATACTGTTCTCATTTTGTGGCTGTTATAGGCGTTTATTTCCTCTTTATTCAGAGTTAGATAATGGCTGTATTTTCACCGTTCACCATCGTTTTGAGAGTTTGAGATATGTTATTTTCATAAAGTCCCTCACATCTGCAACTTTAAATTCACGACTCCACACTTAAAGTGAGGTGCTGCTGACTCAACCATACATTCAAACATTAAACATTTAAAGCCTTTAAATCATCTTTATTGAATTTTAGAGGAAATTCGTTTTTTTCTTTCCTCACAATGCTGCAGGGCAGATTCAAATTTTGGATTATAGTGCAACATACTTCACTTTATTATCACATCACACTTCCAGTGTGCAATCGGTAAAGTAGTCAGAGGCTTTTACATCCCTGCACTCTTCCTGGTAGATGAGCCTGATCCTGCAAACGACCAGAAGAGATCAACATGAGACGTTCAAATGTCGTTGTTGTTATATTTGAATTATTAGTCAATATTGGATTGTTCATCATTTAAAAAGTTAGACTCCATTTTCAAAGACAGAGAGAGATATAACTTACATCTGTGTTAACGCCTTGAAGTGGGGCGCTCCGAAACCGTTGTCACTGTGAAAATATTCAGAATAAATAAATATTTGAACCACTCAGGGCAAACTAACTTGCTCTCAGTCTGTGGACTTTAGAGCTGCAATCGATTACTTGTCAACTCTTAAATTATTCACTAACTATTCTGATAAATTAAGTTTAATAACTAGGTTCGAGAACAAAGATCACGCCTTGCACTAGTCTCATTTCCAGTCAAAACCTTCACTCACTTCTTGACTTCCACATCCCTCCCCTCCAAACCCTATTCTTTTTCTTCCCCTCTCTCTTATCCACTGGAACCACCGGGGCTCTCGAGAAGACATAAGGAGGGACGTCTCCCTCACTCAGAGTTGCAGAACTCCTCCATCCATCCACCCGTTCATCCACCCGTCCACAAACCCATTTTTCTTCCATCCCTTCATCCCTCAACCCTTTCCCAATCCATTCATCCCTCATACTGTACACCACATTGGTTCACATTTATCCATTTGGTGCTATAAACCTTTCTACTTCCGTACGTTCACTGGCGTGGTCTTTGTTAGTGAGTTGTTTTAAGTCGTCATATCCAAATTGTCATATTTCTCAAAAGTGAATATTTATTTTCTTTAGTCCTCTGTGACAGTGAACTGAATATCTTTGGGTTGTGGACAGAACAACAATAAAGTCAACATAAATCTTCACATACGATAAAGGTTGATTGAACTTACATAAAATAGGTGAAGATCTTCAACACGCAGCTGATGTCGTCCTGTATGTTGTCATCAGTCAACTCTGGAAAGGAAACAAGTTTGCTGATTTAAGGTGAAGATGAAAAATGCATCTTCAGTTATTATGTATGCCAGAAAAAAAAATCAATCTTTGTATTTTTTATCTACAAATCATCCTTTTCTTTGGGTAAAACTAAATATGAGGCGCGCTTACGTAAGCATGAACCAACCACTTCCAACCAATAATATCACCAATATATATCAATAATATCAATCAATCTTCAACTTTTAGCGACACTGAGTAAAAATTCACTGGTTGCTGGATAAAAACACAACGTTATCAGTGATTGGATGATATTGTCTGGTTTCCCCTCGACACAGACAGACGGCAGCGGCACTGAGGTGATTTACAGAGTTTCCAGACGGACTAAAAGCAGCTAACTGTCGCCAACAGTAATGTTAGATGCCATTAGCTTACTAATGGCGGTGCCAGGAGCCAAACCCTGTCGTCAAACTGTCCTCCATCGGCATCGGATGCTGAAATTGATGTACAGGTTGCCTTCAAGCTACAGCTACTGTGTGTAGAGTCGGTACATTGAGCTGTCTGATTGAACACAGACTGTAAAAACTGGATGCTATTCATTTAGTAGAGAGCGGGAGATCCGGCCACGTGTTGCGTAACGGATTCATAATAAACGACTCGACTGCAAATGAATGCAACAGGCAAACTCAGAGATCAAATGTTTCCAGAAAGTTATGTTAGTAAACTGTATCAGCCTCAGTGTTCAGTGGTCCGGTTGCGTCCTCGCCACATTCTGTGTGTCTGCACAAACTGAAACTCACCGCTGCAGTCCATCCCACAGATGTTGGGTGATGGACTGCCGTCGCTGCAGACCAGGTGACTGCTGAGCTGGAAAAGACCGTAGAGCGTGCAGACATCCCCGTCCTGGCTTGAAGGCCTGTTGGACCTCGGGGGTTTCGGTTGTCGCTCGTGTGACGAATCCTCAGCGCTCCGTTGCTGGCGGGTGTGGGGCTGCACGGTTGGGTCTTCAGGCTCGGCCATGCTGAACAGACCGCCATATACCCCCCTCTTCTTCCTGCCGTGATGGTCGTCAGTGCAGGAGGTCAGCAGATCCACCGCACTGGTGTTAAAACCTGACGCAAACTCCACGTGACAGACAACTGAAGGCAGAAAGAGACAGAAACAGACAAATCATCTTCAAACGTCAGTTCACTTTGACAAACTGCTGCTGTGACTTATTCATGGTCCCCAGAAGATGATTGATGATTTTATGAATAGGCCTAATCTTTCCTCTAGCGCCACCATCAGAAACCCCAAAACTTCTCCTTATAAATCCAGGTAATTGCCCCAAAGTGCTACTGAGCTCATAGATTGTCCCCCGGAGGATGAACCCAGTGTATTTTAGGCACTATGAGCTTTAGTGCCAACCTCAATACAACATTGAATCTTTTAACCCTTTAATAGAATAATTCAGTTGCAGACCCAAAACAACAATGAATGCACAACAACGCGGGAAATGTTGGCAAGGTGATTCACTGCGGCTCTGACCAGGACTCTGACTCCAGTGAGGAGCGAGTACATTTGTAAGTAACTACAAGTTATTCATCCCGTGTTCTGAACACTTGTGACGTTATACCGACTACTGGTTGTCACACATTCAGAATCTCGCTGTTTCATTTAACAGGCAGCTACATAATTAAATTAATATCATAAACATTCGCTGCCTAGACTACTAATGGCTTGAATTAACAACTACTTGTTGATAATTTGACGAATTGAAAACGTTTAGTCGAGCTCAGCTCTTGTATAAGTCTCACTGTTGCTAATGTAAAAGTTACAACCAGTACTTACTCTTGGCCACTAACTTGTCCACAGTCAGTCCTCTCTGCTTCGCCTTCTCTGGCAGCTGACCGATCGCCGTCATTAGAGCGTCCTTCAGTTCACATTTGGACACAATTCGCCCTTCAGACAGACTGCAGCTCAGCGCCGCTAAGAGAAAAACCACAAGTATCTTCATCTTGACTCCAGCTGTCTGAAAACATACAGGACATGATATGTATATATAGTGTCTGCAGAGCCATCGCTGGACGAATCAGAGAACATCTTTTGTCCTCCTCATATAAAGGCCGCTCCCATGGCGCCTGGAAGCAAGGGTCTGGAAGAGCACGGTGCTGCCAAATCTCACGCTTGGCTTCAGGTTTCTGAGCTCTAAAGAGGTCGAGGGGAAGAAAAATGATCCGTTCTACCTGAAAACATCTTTTCTCAGTTACAGGTTACACCTTCATCCTGGTGAAAAGACCTGGCCATGAGACTAAAAACAGATACAGCGATACAGTTTATCTTCTCACGTCATCATAAGACATTTATTATTTCAGAGGATCGGGTGTCAACACCGGCAGTGTGACAGTGAATACAGAGTGGGTGCTGAATACGAGACAGTTCGTTTCCTGAGCACAGATATCATGTTAAGTGCAACAAAAGAAAGGACAATGCCAAGAGCAGCAAAACAGTAATGTGGAAGATGAGCAGAAGAAGACACAGTTTTAGTGAATACGTTTTTCATGAAATGTCTTGTTCAACTTTTAATACTAAATCTCTAATAAAATCCCCACCCATCTAGAGTTCCAGGCTAATAAATCAAACATTGGACTTACGGAAAGGTCAGCTTTTGATGCAGTGAAAGTGTTGTGAGAAACTTTCCACTTTCAGCAGATGAATCTATTTTAAAAAATCTGATTTTTAAACGTGCTTACGAGGAAGTTAGGAAGTCAACCAGGTGCATTATATCTTAAAACCTGAAGCCTCCAGAGAAGAGAAAGAGACTTTACAGTGAAGGAGCAGTCATCTTGTGTCCAGCAGGAAAACTTCAGAAATTAACAAAAAATGCATATTCATAGATTCTGTCATTTTTAATGAGGTAGAAGGAGTAGATACCTTTTTAAGGACTAATGTGGAAATTAGACATTATTGTTCCATGCCAACTATTTGTATATGTAGTTAGATCTCACAGTATTTTGTTTGTGGTGCTAAACCAAAGTCTTAAGTTCCAGTGTTTAATCCCGGATGAACACACAAACACATAAAAAGGAGCACACACAGATTTGCAGGTCAAAGCTGACTGATCTGTTTCAGAGCATCTCATGCGCCATGAGACAGAAATGTTAACATGTTTATCTGAAATGGACAAAATCAGTTTTTATATGTCTGGAGGGGACAAGATTTTGGTTTTATTGCTATGAAGTTTTGTACAAACATTAATAGTCCCAAAAAGATTCACAGAGTAATTTTGATCCTCTCACTCGCCGTCTGCCACCAACAGATAAAAGTTTTCTAATACAACACAGGTTGGCACACAATTTGTCCAGGTGATCAAATACCTTTGATGATCTCATGACTCAAGCGCCACCAGCAGCCAAAAATGACCCTGACTGGTCCCAGACCAACAAACTGCTCTGCACTGTGTTCTGACCCCTTTCTATCAGAACCAGCATGTTTCAGCAGTTTGAGCTACAGTAGCTCGTCTGTTGGATCGGACCACACGGGCCAGCCTTCGCTCCACATGTGCACCCATAACACTGTCTCCGGTTCTTTTCCTTCCTTGGAGCACTTTTGATAGGTACTGACCTCTGCAGACCGGGAACAACCCACAAGAGCTGCAGGTTTGGAGATGTTCTGACCCAGTCGTCACATCACAATGTGGCTCAGATCCTCACACTGCCCCCCACTGACAGGAGCCCTGAATCAGTGTTATTCACTGTCAGTGGTCATAATGTTATGGCTGATTATATATAATATATATATATATACATAGTGTATTCTGTGTGGAGTGATGAGGTCGGAAACTGTTGTCCTGCTGCAAAAAACATTTAAAACGTGAGTTGTCTCTTTATATTTCTTTTAAATGTATTTTATTGATAAATTCACCACGTGTTTGCTGTCTCTCTCTCTCTCTCTCTCTCTCTCTCTCTCTCTCTCTCTCTCTCTCTCTCACACACGTCTCAGCTCCTCCAGAAGCTTCCTCGGGGGGGGATTTCCAGGTCCCCCGGAGGAGAGAGGATAATGAAAAGCACCCACTGTGACCGCTCTCGGAGCAGGCCTCTCCCTCCTGCAGCCTGGTGGGCGGAGTCGGGGTCATCAGGGAGATTCAACTCACCTGGTTCTGCTGGCCAGACTGTATATAAAGGTGGAGGCAGTCTTCCTCTCTTCCCTGGCTTCATCCCTGTTTGGTTTTCATTTTTTCACCTTCATTACCAACAATATGTGCTTTATTACCGCTTCGTATGGAAACAGGAAGAAGCAGAGGTGTGACCGAGGATGAAAGAATCTGAATATTTTGAGTGAAACGAGGTGGAGAACGAAATTCATTTCATTTTTCCTTTTATATCGTGAGTTACGACAATTGTAAAAAGTTTAAGTCCCTGATTTAGAGTTGATGAAATACTGAAAATGGAGCTTTGATGGAACCTTTTTGATAATGTCTTTGCGTTTTATGAATGATCTTTTTATAAAGTGTGGGACAGGAGGAGGAAAGCAACATATGACAGATAAAGTCCTCAGATTGTATCCGGATTGTAGATTGAGAAATGCACTGTGGATAGTGTTAATGTGGACTTCTTGTTTTTGTGTTGTTTGGATTTGTGTGTTGTGTTTTGTGGGGCTGTGTTGGTATGTTTGTTGTATTTGTGTGTTATCTGTTGGAAGGTCATTTGTGTTTATGTTTGTTTGTTTGACTGTTGTTTGTGACTTTTGTTTGTTGTTAGTTAATGTGTCTGAATAATCTCATGAGAGCTTTGACTTTGTGTACAATACAACTCAAATAAGACTTTAAACTGATTATTCAACCTAAGTTCAGTTAAATAAACTTTAAATTTTTAAGCTGATCCAAAACGATGTACAGTGAAATCCCACTGTTGTTTCTGTTGTAGTAATATTAATAATATGTAAGTACAGCCAATAATGGATATAGTTCCAGTGTGAGACTTGTTGTAAATGTGCAGCTGCTCTATAGCGCCTTCCAGAGGGCAATTTTATGAATCCATCAAACAGGATGAACGGGATCAGACACAGTTTGTCTGACTTTCTTGTTTAAACTACGTTTTGTAAATGAATCCCAGTTGTCTCTGCTCTTTCCCAGTAATCTTACTGCATTGCTCTTTTAAAAATGTGCTCTGTGTTGGCTGTAAAAGTATTTAAACTCTCCTACTACTTCAACAGGCTGATCCAACAGGTATTGTGGTGTCTCACAATAACTATCTTTAGTCTAACTTTCATTAATAAAAAGGACATGGTCTTCACACAGCGTAGTGAGCTCACCAATATGGTGGAAATATGAAGACTGTTTAACTGTTGTCACCATGTCATCAGCATATTTATACAGTTGAAAAAGGTGAAAGTGCACAACCTCCTGTATCAGCGGTAAAAGCACCACTGCACCTCAATCCACTGTTTAATGTGGAGAAAAGTATATTTCTGCATTCAGTTAAAATCTATAGCTCAAAACCGTTAAATGTTAAGTGTCTCCAGCACCTCAGACCTTTAACAAGACGTTGAAAGATGATTAACTGTTTCCTTTTTCTATACATGTACATAAAAGGCTGGTCAGTGCAACCCGTCTAAAATGAGTTAATCATTATTGTCACTTGTGTTTCAGTGTGGAATCATTTTAGGCTTGAGACAAGTATATTAATGCAGTTATTACTGAGAGAGCCATGTGGCCCGTTCTATCACTGTAATTAATCAGAATTAGTAGTTTGATCAGAGAAGATCTAAGTTCGATTACATGAAAAAAATACATGTCAAACACATACCACACAGGAAACATGTTTATTGAAGGATTACAGATTGCAGAAGATACAAGACTTCTTATCAGGAAATTAACAAAATTCCAGTCAATCACCAAAACTATTTAAAGTACTGACATACACTTCCAGTTTTAACTTCAGGTTCTGGTGTTTTTTGGAGGAAAAACAAAAGAACACCCACAAACCAAAAACGCAACAAAATAGCTTAGCTTAACTAAAAGAACAAATGTTTGGGAGAGAACTGTGGTTGAAAGGTCACATTGGAGGTGATGTTGATGAAGATGAAGACGTCGTTGTTGGCGTTACATCCTGCTGCTCATTCACATTTGGCAAAGAATTTCGCGGTGCGGAGACACTTGCGAGGGGTGTTGCGAATTATGGCCCTGATTTGATGAAAAAAGAAAAAACAATTAAGTGAAAACAGTTATTAGATTTCAATAAGCAGCATATACATATTGATTATATATTGTGTTTGTAAGTATCTTCCCCAGTTGGATAGAGTGCTTACATACACGTATATACAATATATTATTGACTGTGACTTCACTTTATGTTTATATGAACACAGCGAGGGAACAATACTGACTAAAATATCTTTTATTAACCTTTTTTTTTAACCAGGTAACTCTGATTTGAGTTCAGGACAATACTGTTTATATACCTAGTTAAACCTAATGCAGTCCTGCAACAAATCCTCTCCCCTAATGGAGTTTATAATGTTCAGTTTGTGTTAAATAGTTTTACATAAGGGTTTAAACTTTATGATCATTTTGGAGGAGCTTCTAAAATGCGATAAGTCGGGTCACTTTCTTATACGACGGACTATTAGGGCCATACTAAGAGAAAAATATTTTTTTTTTTTGGGGGGGATTACAAGAATAAAGTCGTAACATTACGAGAATAAAGTAGTAATTTTATGAGAACCGTCAGCCTGTTGGCTCAACCAGCAAAACTGTTTAACGATGAAATTATCAATACGTTAGTTTACCTGTTGACTGTACGGTATGACTGAGACAAACAGCGGCTGCTGGGCTCAGGCTGAGGCTGCTGATTGGCTGAGCTGCTCACATCAGATCTTGATAACTCTATCGAAGCTCTTTTGTCATTAAACAACTTTTTTTCTTGTATTATTACGACTTTATTCTCATAACATTACGACTTTATTCTTGTAATATTCTGACTTTATTCTTGTAATTTCCAAATTTTTCTTAGTCTGGCCCTAATACTCCATCATATTCTTAATCATCCTGAGAAACTTCTGCACATCACATGTTTCGTAAAATGACTAACTTTGCTGTACAGAAACTTACCAAAAGTAATTGGTCTTCATAAAGCATTCAACGTCATCGGTTATGTCGTCGTCGGTGAAGACTTGAAGGGGAGAAAAAAGAGCAGTTATCAATATGCAAAATATCATAAATCAATAATCATTTAAATAATGAGCAGTGATTACTCGTCTCTCTGTATGTTTCTGGCTCAAAGACTCACCATCGCAGCTTGTACCGCACGCGTTTTTGGACCAGCGATAACCGGAATTACAGAAGTAGCTGTCAGACAGCTGGAAGAGCCCATAAAATCCAAGGGACCAAGGCCTCAACTTCTTTTTGGGCTTCCAGCGGCGCGCAGATCGTTTGTTACGTTTCCCGTCTTCCTCCTGCTCATCGCTCTCCACCTCGTTGCTCACTTCGTCTTCATCTTCGTCTTCGTCTTCCATCTTGTTGTTATCGTTCTCCATCTCCTCCTCATCAAACTTGTTTTCTTCCTCTTCCAGCATTTCCTCAAAGCTCATGTCCTCTTCTGACACATCAGCCTCTCGCTTCCGTCTCATGCTCCTGGTTGTATTGGTCCTTGGTACGGTAGTCACTGAAACAGTGGTTGTTGCTTCAGTGGTTGGTTCTTGGGTTGTTGGTTCTTGGGTTGTTGGTTGTGGGGTTGTTGGTTCTTGGGTGGTTGGTTCTTGGGTTGTTGGTTCTTGGGTGGTTGGTTCTTGGGTTGTTGGTTGTGGGGTTGTTGGTTCTTGGGTTGTTGGTTCTTGGGTTGTTGGTATGGTTGTCACTGATACAGTGGTTGTTGGTTCATGGGTCGTTTCAGTCACTCTTGGTGTTGTGGGATCTGTGACCACCGTTGTTGGCTTGGCTGTTGTGGTTCTGCGTTTGCCAAACACCCTGACCAGGGCGGTGTTCAGACGGGAGCGCCGTTCCACCTGACAGATAACTGCGGTAAACCAGTCATGAGAGCAGATAGCAGGAGCAAACAAGGAAAGAAGAAGACAAGAAAAGAAAAAAGAGAATGATAGTCAATAAATGTTCTTCATTTAACAACCACATGTATGTATATTAATACTTTTACTTTTAACAGATTTGTGGACCTTTTTTTTATGTTTTTTAGTTGTTTTGCAGCTCGAATAAGGCGGCTCAGTTCTCAGCTGTTCATATAAAACAAGTGGTAAGTATATGTATGTACAATTAGCGTACATTAGTCATCATCCACTTAACAAGAAATGTTGAGCCCAGTGTCCACACACTTGCTGTCCTCTTTTATGCCTTGTTGACTCTTCTTATTTAATAAAGTCATTACAGTAAAAGTCAATAACAAAAGTAAGAACCAGATTAGCAAACTGTATTATTTTTGCATTTGCTCTTTCTTTGTCTGCTCTGACAACTGAGTGATGTGTGCAGGTGACTTTGGACGTCACAACTTGACTTTTCTAACCCTGAGTATACCTAACACGCCCGTTTATCAACCTCACCAATGGCCAGGATTCTTTCCCTGAACCTCTCAAGTCTTTTGGAGAGGATGAGCGCCTCCCCCAGCTTTTCTCTCAGCTCGCATCTGGAGACGGTCCGGCTCTCAGACAGGCTGGGCACCAGAACCGCCACAGCCAACACCACCAGCAGCCCCAACTTCATGTCAACACCTTCTGTGGGGGGAGGAGGAGAAATGAACTGATATTTAGTACTCAGCTCAGATTACAGTGAACGAGGTCCTCTAGTGGTGAGAAGAGCTTATAACACGCTCATGAAAAGTCAGGAGGGGAAAAAATCTAAAGAACGGCTGTTAATGCTTTAGATTATTATCTGTCAGAGGGATCAGACTATGTTTCCTGATTCAAGTACAAGTCAACTCAGGAGAAGGAAGTCTATTTCTTATGTACTTTCTGTTATACTTATCTATACATCCTCATTTCTGGCAAGTTTGTGAAGCAAGGGAAAATACACAGACAACAAGAGGACTTATCTCGTCACGTCAACAGATTTTCTTAACAAAATCAGTCCTACATGTTAAATTGAAGTTTAAAATCACTTGTTAGGTTTTTTTTAAATGTAAGTAAAAGTATATTTATAGACATTAACTGTATCTTTGTGTAAGTAAAAGTATATTTATAGACATTAATTGTAAGTCCTTTAAAAAGTATACTTACAGAAAAAATGACTATTTTGAATAAATTGTGTGTTGTAGTTGAACAGATGCTATGTCTAATTTGACTATACAAAATCAGAAACAATTCGCACCATTGATAAGAGATATCATTGCCCTTTAATTAATACACAAAAAGTCATAAATCACAAGTTGTACACATCATATAGTCAGCAGAGACACTTAAGTGAACCTGATATTTAGGAACTTTTTGAAATAGTTTTATTTTATTTTGTAATATTATTTTAACAGCAAACAAAGTGGTGAGTAAAAACGAACAAACAAATTATAAAATGAAATATCTACAATCATCATTAATCATTAAAATATAACAAAACCAGCTCTGACAATATGGCAGTAAAATAACGATAAGATAAAAAATATGTTTCTTACCACGTTCTTAAAGAGTTTTCTTCGGTGAGTTTGCTGATGGAAGTTTTCTTCTCTGCGTCTGCTGCCAAAAATGTGAGTTTATATATCATCAGAGTCCAACATGTGTACCGACCTGTTTGACAAGTTGTCACGTTTTTTTGACATCATTTCCTTGAAGGAAGGAACAAACTGTCTATGCAGGGATTGCTGCCATCATGGATTACATTGAGAAAAAAACAAAACACAAAAAAACACTGACATCAAAGACTCGTCACCCAACTCCTTAACATGATATTTACAGCTTTCATAGCCTTCCAGATCAAATGACAGCAAACAATACAGAAACACAATCACTATTCAGAGTTCTGAACTGACAGCAGACTTTTGTATGGTGACTGAAGAGCTGAGTTTACTTTATTTATGACCCTGTTTTGTCCTGTCCAGCAAACAATAAACACTCTTTCATATTAAAGGACCAGTGTGTAGGATTTAGTGGCATCCAGCATTAAAGCTGCAGATTAAAACTAAGTCAACACCACTCGCAAGAAACTAGAAAGACCCGATCTAAAGCCAATGTTTGGTTTGTCCGTTTTGGGCTACCATAGAAACACGGAGGCCTTCATGGAAGGCGACCCGCTGTGTTTAGATATTAAAGGCTCATTCTAAGGTAGCTCTTATTATTCACGAATGAAAACATACCCATGAGTATTAGATCCTCTAAAGGTTTCACACTGGACCTTTAAATTCTGCTGCTTGACTCCAGACTGTGAGGATCAATATTAAATTAACATTAGCCACGGAAGAGGTGCAGATTTTTGTAATCAGTAGTGGTCCACAGACAGAGACGACTACGTAATTATGCATTTTGAATAAAGTATTCCTTATTCCATCCACTCTTGTAGATTGGACTATGTCATGTCTTTGTCATCCTCACAGAACATAATGAGTGATGTGCTTTAGGAGGGATTTAGAGGTGGGTATACCCAGTGCCGACTGAAAACAAGTACTCTGTAATGATTTTAATATTCAATAAGTTTCCCTCTTATGGACAAAGACTAAGAATTATCGCTCAACTCTGCAGCTCTTAACTCATAGTTTTGTTTTTTAATCACATTTGCTGTCAGTCCACTGATAGCTAGAGTGAGAGCTCAATGCACTAAAGAAAGCATACACAAACAGACAAAAGACAAGAAAATAAAGATAGAACTCACGTATGAAGAGTAACAAAACACACACAGACAACACAACCCAATGGGGAAATAAATAGAGGGGAAAGATACATTTACAGCACGTTTCTGTCGTGTGAATTTTGTTGTATTAAATTGCAAACATTGCATGCAGTTACGAGTTCAACCTCCCTCTGTAGATAAAAACAGCTCATTCTAAAGGTAACGAAAACACAGCGATTCTTATTTTCAGGTGATTTTACACTAATAACAAACATATTATTATTATTAGTATTAGCAGTGGGTTCATGTATTTTATTGTGTTTGAGCCATTGAGTCGTTCCTGCTCTCAGATGGACAGGGTGCCACATCCTTTCGGAACATGACCGGGTCCGAGTGGCACCCATGTTTGCCCACACACACACACACACACACACACACACACACACACACACACACACACACACACACACACACACACACACACACACACAAAGCCAGATTGCAGCAAGGATAAAGATAACTGGTTTGTCTGGGTTTTTGTTTTTTTGCTGTGTCACTGACCAAACACATTCATGGATAAACACAGTTTTAGTTTCCAGTATGTCTAATCCTAAAAAGGGTCACAATGAAAGAGGTCTCTAGTTTCAAAAAAACCTGTTCAGATGACATAACACGACATTCTCCAAAGGGCAGCTTTCTCTGTCTCTCTCTCTCTCTCTCTCTCTCTCTCTCTCTCTCTCTCTCTCTCTCTCTCTCTCTCTCTCTCTCTCTCTCAGTGAGTCTTTTCATTAAGTGGTCAGATAAACAGACAAAAAAGGGCTTAAGTATATTTACCCCATAACTAATTAAAATAAAATGTACACTTTTACTCTTTTAACATGCCAAAAATATGATAATTACAATAAGTTAGGATTTTTGCACTTATTTGTTTATTGAATCTCACTTTTTAAGTTTGTGTACTCACTGCTTGTCATTTTTCTTCACCTTTTATATCTAATTAATCACACTCATGTATTTAATAGTGCACTTAAACCATGTACCTTTACATTTAACTTTAACTGTGTGACTTTCACTTTTACTCGAGTCTTTATGTATCTTTACTTTGGCATGAATTAAATGACTTTTTTTACGCCACGGTGGACTTTATATCTAGTACAAATACTTAAAGTTGCAGTGTGGAACATTTAGAAGGATCTGTAGGCAGAAATATAACATTCATAGGTATGTTTTCGTTGGTGTATAATCACCTGAATATAGGAATCGTTGTGTTTTTGTTGCCTGAGAATGAGACGTTGTTATCTACAGACGTTATAGAAACATAGATATTCACTTCTAGAGCTGCAGACTTCACTACAAAATCAATAAATATGTAGATTTCTATACATATTTAATTATCATGAAGCCACCTGGTTGCTTGTTTCTATGAAATGTGAATTATGTTTACAGGAAAACATTCACTGAACATCGGTGAATTATTTTCCCCACATGGTATTTCTTGCCAGTTTCCTGTTAGACAGTAAAATGTAGCATGTGCTGATGCATTATGCACCACCTCACAAGCAGTAGTACGGTGGTTGTTTTTTTTTGTTATCCATGCCAGTGTCACGTTCAGTTTCACACGTTTAAAACAAACCAAATTTAATGAAAATCAGTTCAGAAATAAACGGGTTTCGGTCGATTTAGTGGTGAAGTATTGTTCACTGCAGCGTTGGGGCTCCTTGGACCGCCATGTTTCTCCTACTCACTCTGTTCTCATTCTCAGGTTGTCAAATACGGACGCCAGTGGTGTTCAGTTAGTTGCAATCTCTGCCTTCCCCGCTAGATATCGCTAAATCCTACATGAGTATCAGTTTCTGAAAATGATAGAAACGCCTTTCAGATTGATTTTGTTTAACAGTTGAATACAGGAGACATGACTTTGGTGTGCTCAGAGGTGTTCGTATGACTCAACAAGCTTCATATTGAACTCCCTGGATGTCTACAGGTGTGACTGTAAAGGCTTAAGTTCACCAGTGACAAGCAGTATAATGCAGCAAGTAAATGCATGTTGAATGAATATACTGCTTTGTGTCACTGGGAGGCAATCAAGTTTTACAAAGTTCGCACAGATCTTTTGTCATTTGTTCTAATATTAATAGTCTCTGTCGGTAGATGATCTGGTATTCCCCGTCATGACTCAACTTCTGAACGCCTGTTGAACTCTGGTGAACTATGAACACAGCAGATTTTTAACCAGGAAAAAGTTGTGACAAGAAGACGAGCTTTAACTTTACATTTCTTTTGTGTTCTATCATGCAGGAAGTGCCAAACGTTTTCCCTTTTGATTTACGACTATTAATAAAAATCTATTATAATCCATTACAACTTCGCCCAAACATTCAGACTGTTGAAGGTTTTCATGGAAGAACTCTGAAGGTTTTACAATGCAGAAAAAAAAACTTCTTTTCTCTTGAGAATTACTGAATAATTTGACCTCTTTAGGAATCTAAAAAGTATTCAGTAAACATGAACTACAGGAAGCAGCCTTGCTCCTCAAAGCTGTTGATTATCTTCATCTAAAAGTAAGAAATATACCAGTAGAATCATAAAATATAAAATAAAAAGACTAAAAAGTTTATTTTAGTTCCTATTTGTTGATTTCAGTAACATTCGAACCCCAACAACTCTAAAATCACCTGTGTGGTTCCTACATTAAGGCTTATTGCAGGTCAGAAAAGTTTAGACTCTTTCTTAAACATGTACAGTTTACATCTGATAAACTCAGAATGTACCTGACATGAGTACATACACAAGTTATTTTGGTACATTTTTCCTGTCAGTTTTCCCTCAGTGAGGCTGTCAGACAGCTTTGCAGGCTGTTCATCACTTTAAGCCCCTTTACACTTCAGCTCAGCCCAGTTAGAGGCAAACAGGACTCCATAGGTAACATACCATACCTACTCCTGCACTCGAAGACATTCTCATGTCACAAGCAAAGGCATTTAAGTGTTCCTCTGCATGCACACTGTCTCATCTTACACAGAGACGCTCAATCAAAGCCCACACAGGTGTTTCCACTTATTCTCACCCTGTCACACCTCACCACTCTGCTTTGATTGACATCTTTTCTAGTTATTGTTGGACCTGTTTCTGCTGGTGTCTAGGAAATGATGCCTCACGTGAAACCTTATGCTTGCCTCTTTTAAAAGAGATTTGTGAGGCCAAACAAACAACTAAATAATCATAAACAGCAACAGAGACTTTATTCCTTGAAGAAAAAAGCCCTCCCGAAACCAAAAGCCCACAGCTCTGTCAATATACTGACATGCTTGATATAGACAGATTATGTTGTTTGCTGACACAATGTTGATAATGGCCAGTTCCTGTTCATGGGCAAACAGATGAGACCTTCCACTCTCAGGAGGTCATCTGGTAGCTAATATTTTAGGACTACTTGTGTTGTAACAATTACAAAGCTTAATTTAGAAAGATGTACCTGTTTACAGTAAACGTCTGTAATATGGGTGCTCAGGTTTGACGGGACTCTTTACCCAGCATCCCTTATAATCTGGCCTTGATTTAGAGTGTAATGTACCATAACATCATCAGAAATGTTTTGGTCTATTGCCTCTTTCCTTTCTGTTTCAGTAAATGTTGTGTTTTCTAAAATCTCACATTGTTTTCTCAGAAAATTGTCTATATATGTCAATAGTGTTTGCAATATTTAGAATGAGTTTATTCAGTTTTCAGGGATGATAAAAGTTCTCGTCAACCATTTAAACATTTAATCATGGGCCTGAGATCAGTGGAGCAGTCATGTTTTATTAAACATCTCGTTGATGACGTTCTCGTCCGGTATGACTCGGCAAAAAGCACGTGTGTTATTAGCTCGTGGACTTTGATGAGCTCATGTTTTCCATTCAACCTGATCAGAGATCTAACCTGTCACATCGTTGTGCAAACTTGTCGATAAGCATTAAAGTGGTTTCAAAGACTGGATAAATGTTCTTGCCACATACCTGAACAACAT